CGCTCCTTCGATCGCGCGCACCCTTTTTTTACGAGATTATTGTCGAAGATCGACACGCGGATCGTCGAAATGAAAATGAATGGCGGAAACGGGAGGGCTAATACGAGGCTGGCGAAATTAAAATAACGACTTGATTTACGGGCGAACTTTCCCACGGTCTTCGAACGGGCGAACTTGGAACTTTTTCCTCATCGTCGTCGCGAGGACGACAAGGAGGTGGCGGCGGCGGTCCCCCCTCCGCCCACGCTTCTCCCGCGGCACCCTCTCGGCCGCCGTTCTTTATTCAAAGTTGTAATAACGTTTGGCAGATGTTTCTGATATAGTGGGCGCTTTATTCCGCGAACTTTTATCGAGTCAATTTAAGTTGCGGCGAGAGAGGGGCCACAGTGTTTGTGCAAGAGGGCCAAAAGCCGCCCTCCCCCCGTTCACCCCCTGGCAGCCTACCTTTTCTCTTTTTGTCGAGATCCCGTCTTTTTTTTCGCTCTCTCCTTCCTCCCAAACTCTTGCCGCGCATATTCATTTCGAAGGAATCTTGCGAGACGGAATTGAGATAAAGTGAGAGCGGCCGCGTGGGAAGGCGAGGGAGAAAAATAGATAAGTTACTTAAATAGATAAACTTACTCCTTCGTTTAAAGTACAAAAGTATCAAATTGTAAGTTATCGTCATAAGACGTCCCGTTCTCGCTGATTCGCGGTTTTCCTCCGGTCAAGCTTGCCTTCTTCGCCGGGTTCTTTACGCGTATTACACGACAATATTACAAAAGTCGAGACTCTTGCAACGTCGTCGGGCGATGTAACTTTATTTCCGATCACGCGCGCGAATCCAATCCGGGCATGATTTTCCATTTGAAATCGAGCGTATATCAAAAGTCAAGCTGCTTCATCCATATCAATGGATGCGCCTTTGAATTACAAGGGAACGCGCAGCCGTAGAAAAATTGTTACCCTCGAGTAAGTATTATCGAGTTACGATATCCTAAGCACATACTCTCAACAACCCCATCCCTTTGCGCAGCTCTAGAATTTTTATTCCTTTGACAAGCATACGTTTCTCGAAGTAATCGTTATCGTCTATGCATATCTCGTGATCCTTTTCATTCTTTAGGACTTTGCATTCGAGAAAAATATTCAATCACGAATCTTTCATCATAAATTCGAGATGAGTTATTTTTTGTAAGAAGAGGACAAAATAAAATCCTTGTTTCTCAGAAACTTTATTTTTAAGCATTAGATATAGTGGCAATAAAATAGATTGATATTTCCATTAAAGCAAGACGAGAAAATAATTAAAAAACATGATGTTAGGTATTTATTTATTTTCCTTTCGACTTAAATTTTTAACTCTTCACGGAGGTAATATTGTTACATTTATTAGCACATGGTTGATACACTTGACATCTTTAAACGCGAATATTTTTGTTTGCTGACTTTATTCGTATCATTTAGCGGCTGAGTGTAATTCGGTGTTGATTTTATCGCGTACTCGAGTGACATATGCTCGTCTGTCGCGGCCGTTTACGCAACGCTTGAAAAGTCACCGATAAAAAAATCATATCTCACCCTTTATCGCGGCTGATGAGTTCTGTCAAGAGTTCCGTACGTTTTATCTCGATTATATTATCGCAATTTATTAAAAAATATTTTAAAGAGAAACTGCACCAATTATTGTAAAGTAATTTTTAAATACGAGATTTTTTTATAATTTAGATAGAAGAGTTATAACGATCAAACAACAGAATTTAAGAAAAAATTAAGAGAATTAATTAAAAGAATTAAGAAAAATAATAAGAGGAATTAATTAATTCAGAATTTAAAAAAAAATAAAAAGAATTAAAATGTAATAGAAAAATATTCTTATACAGGATTCTTATATTTTAAGATATTACCAAGTGAGAGAAGAAGTAGTACATGTATAATGATACACTATACAGTATCAAAATTTAAATAATAAAGAGAATTTAATGAAATAAATTTGAAATAATTCATGTACATTTAATAACAATTGAGACTTTGATTGATGGAATTTTCATATTCAAGAAACGCACGATTTATTGCACTAGAATGCACTCTGTAGACTCCTTGTTGACTCTTGATGATATTGTGAGCAACTTACCTTCGAACGTTACATGCTATCTCAACTAATGAATATTTTTCATATTCAGCAGATAATACGTAGCTCCAACTTATGTATCTTGCACTGGTAAGAAGATTGTGTATCATTCATCTCATCGCAAGCATAAATTTCATTCACTGAAAATTTTCATTCATAATTATTTTTGTTACCTACGAGTGATAATGCTCTTCATATCATACATCTTTCTTTAATATTATTCAATGAAATTAATATTATTTTAATAATTTAATATTATTTTTAATATTTTTCTTTAATATTATTTAATATTATTTAATATTATTTTTCTTTAATATTATTCAATGAAATTAATATTATTTTAATAATTTAATATTATTTTAATAATTTAATATTATTTTAATAATTTAATATTATTTTAATAATTTAATATTATTTTAATAATATTTTAAGTTGATAGCTAATTAAGCGTTTTGCTAAAGTCTCTAATTACCTTGTCTATTATTAAAAGTATGCATACACGATATAAACTTTGTTTTGTCTTAAGATGGCGATACATCAGCAAGCATATGAATAATGAATGTATACATATCTGAATGATGCATCAGTAGCGTTTCTATCAAAACATAATCATTTGAAATACACAATCCTCGTTTTTATTGTTTTATTAAACCTATGAAAATTAAAAATTTTACATTAATTAAATTAAAAATTTTTTAAATTTAGAAAATTAAAAATTAGAAATTCTTGTATAAATTTAGTTGTTCTTGTATAAATTCTTGTATAAATTTAAATCGCACCAGCCGTTTTTCTCCGCCCCCTTCGATTTTATTATTTGAACCGCTATCTAGCCGTTGCATAAATAAACGAAGAAAGCGGATTCGATTTTTTTTTGCCAAAGATCGCTGAAACGCATCGCTGATCACGCCCGATTAAGGAATTCCTTCGGATCGCTGAAGGCTACTGCGTATCCTTGCGCTCGTGAAATCGAAGGAACGGTGAATGGGAACCTATAACGCATTGCTCGCATATCTTCGATATTACGGTGCATGCGGTCGCATTGTTGAGCGTCGAACGTAGAAGAGAGATTGGTCAGCGATCGTTAATTAGACCCCGGCTAATTGGTAATCGAGCTTTAATTACTGCTTCCAGGAGAAAATAAAAAAATCAAGTAGAAATGTTTAATTCGATTAGATGTTTTTTTTTTTATCTTAATAACTCAAGTTATAGTCATCTTCTACCATCTACGAGAGATTTAAAAAATTTACAAATTGCTTCTATTTTATTTAAACTTGATAATAATTCGGTGTTTTCCTCTGTTCGAGATTATTGTTACTTATGATTTGTCATCTGCAATGATTCTCAGGTGCCCTCATCGTTAATTCGGCACCGAAGATTCTTTACGCTTTGGCTGTGAGAAAGTTTTAACGGTATATGTGTAATTAAAGCGTGACAAACTAGATCATGATATGTAAATAGTGTCATATTTTGTGACGTGGTAAAATTCGTAAAATGCATGTCCTATTAACGATTTTTTTCATTCCCATCACGTCCGCGAGGTGGACTTGGCTCTAATTGAATCACCTCATGATAAGGAATGCCTATCCGTAAAAATAACGGCGTCGTTACATTTGCAAATAACTAAATCGAAAATAAGTAGTTCGTCGAGAAATATATACGTGAAAAACGAAAAGTAAAATATAATTTATGAAACTTGTAAAAATATAAAAAGAAACCAATTCTATAATTTATTTTTCAAGATGTAGATATAATTTTTGTCTTAAAATTAATATAAAAATATCTAAAAGTGCTCTTTATATTATTAATAATATCTTGATAGCAATTTTAATCGTCAAACGACAGAACAGACATCTTTGCATTATTTTATTGATAATTATAATTTTATTTATAAAACTTTAAGAGTGAATAAATCTTCTAGGTTTAAAAATAATTTAATTTGTGATTGATATACATGATATAATTATTTAGAACAGAATTTTTCCAAATCATCCAACATCTCCTTTCGAGCTCCATCATTATCAAATTTCCTCCGTTCGCTTCGTCAGGAATTCCATCAATTTCGTTGACGCGTGGTTCAACTATCGAGACCCGGTTTAATCACGAAAGTGACGCAGGTCTTTAGAAAGAGGTCCCCCCCATATCAGGCTTCGGGGACAACGGCCGCCGATTAGATGACCTCTTTGAGGGATTCCGGCGGCCGGTTAGCGCGCGAATCCTGTCTGCGTGTCATATTTGGAAAAATGCGGGGTGGAGGGGGGGGAGGAGGGAAGAAACGCACACCTGCGAACACCTGCAACGTGGCGCACGCAAGATAACGTGACGCCGACTCAAACGGAGTGTATTTTCTTTTTTTTTATTCATTTTTTTCGTTGAGGAATCCTCACCGGGTCGCAAGATCCCTCCAGTCCGCTTGTCTGTCCCCCCTTCCTCTCACGTTTATCCGTGAATAAATTAACGTGTATATTACACGGATCTTCACATTACTCGTATATTTGCATACAACGTAAAGGGGACTTATTTAGAGAGATATTTGCAACGAAAAAGCGAGGAGAATTTCAGACAAACGTGTACTCTCGGTTTCCTTCTCTCTCTCTCTCTTTATCTCGTTACTATTTATTTAATCGTTACTATTAATTTTCAATGAATCTCGGATGAATAATAAACGCGGGATTCCGAGACGCTAGGTACGTTGCTGTTCCCCCGGCGATTTACAGGTCGTTTCAAATGGCCCGCATCGACCGCGCAGGCTCCACTGTAGAGCAAGTCGAGGCTCTGGGGTCTCTAGAGCTCGGGACTACCTGTACTTCTGAAGACCGCGTGCGTAACGGTACACACCGCGGTGTATGGTGGCTCCTCATGGTGGCGGTAGGAGTCAGTTTCCTCTTAGGCGAGGTCGAGCGACCGCATACCACGATCTGGAAACGCGTCGTGGAAGCAGTTGTTGCTCGATCGTCCGCAACGCTCGTGTAATCGGATAATCGGAAATTGTCGACGACGGGCGCGTCGCGGAGCAGTTTGCCGGGACAAAGTGTGCTCCAAAGTGTGATCGATCGTCTCGTTGATCTTCTCATCCCTCGAGAATCGCGATCTCTCTCACGTCGCTCGGTTGAAAATTCGTCTCTCCTTCGGTGGTCCTCGCATTGGGATCTTACGTCTCTCTTTCTCTCTCTCTTTCTCCTTGACGGAAAATCGGCGCTTGACGTCTACGACGCCGGGAGGTGAGTCTCGATCGAGAGGAGAAGCCGTCTGAGAAAGTCATCTCGGGCGGCGTCGCGATCGATGTCTCCCGCTATAAACGATAATCGGAGATTTTACTGCGGAGACATCGATGCCTGTTGAGGCGATATCGTCTCTCTCGAACGCATCCTTCGCGTGTAATTTCTTATTGTGGCAAAAGAGAAACAAACTCTGGTAATATTAAATTAGCTTAATAAATTGATATAAATAAAAAAATAATATTTTAAAAGATATTTACAATCATTATTAAAATGTAAAATGTTTATGTGTGCGAGTAAAAGGAATTGTTTCCTTTCAATATGAATCAGTCTTGGATCGAAACGGCGATTAGCTCATTCATTGAAATAACATATCGATGTTTAATCTTCTGTCAATTTAAAGGTAGTCAGCGAGATGTTTAATTAAAAGAAAAATAATTGTCATTTAAATGTCACATCGAAATCCGTAAAAAAATTAAAAAATAATTTTAATTTTAAAAATTATGAAATTTGGATGCATCCAAGATGCATACGTGATTATGTAGAAAAAATTTCAGCTCTCGATATGGATACCTGTTTCGAGGAACGGACAAAGGTTAAATTAATACTCAACTAGACATTTCTTATACCTCGGAACCTCACCAAACCAGTTGAAAGTCAAGAAATTTAGCTCTTAGAGATTAACTTTGCGGCTTGTAACTCGTATATCTGTTGCCGGTCGTAAACAAAGTTATTGGCATTGAAAAATAAAAAAAGAAACGAGAAAGAAATTCAGAATGAAAATAAACAATAAATCGGTGTCGACAATTTTACACGTAGCTATATAAATATAAAATGATACGAGGAGACTCAAATATAATTAAGAATTTTAATACCGCGAGGAATTGCCTACCCTTTGCAAATGTCGGAACAAAGTTCATGCGCGTTCCTGCGATTGACTTTAAAATGGCGTGCGCGACACTCCGGCGACCGATGTGCGCGATTAGGCGAAAGTATTCAAGGACACTGCATCCATTCGTGACTAAGAAGGAATAAAACGCGTTCCCGTTAATAGTACCCATTCATATTGCGGAAAATTTGAGAAGAATCTCAACATCTGCCTTTTAATTATCTCGATCTTTTCTAATTTATAATACCGAGACGGAGATAAACGTACCGTGGAGCTCAAGCAAATTACGTCGTGGAAAAACTCGTTCAAGTGACTTCATAATACTTTTGCTTTAGATAGTTATTCCCACGCACAGTGGTACGCTAATAAATGGTTAGCGGTGGAAATAAACGCGTCGAGGAATTTTGTTATGTATTTGTGCACACGCTTGTTGATCCAAATAATCTATTCCTTTGAATTGAGGAGTCTCAGAGAATTTGCGAGTCGACCCAGAAACATGACAAACATGAGAAATTGAATTAAAAAGAGGCTAAATGGAAATTTTAATATAATCGAGAGAGAATGGAAGATTGCCATTTATTAATGTTTCAATTAAACTTTCCAACAGTTTGTCTTATTTGTCATGTAATTACGCTAAGAAACTTTTACGCGTTAATTTTGAATTATTAGAAATTCCAGTGCCATAAATTTCGCGACAGGCGGAAACGGGCGAAGCCGAGAAAAAGCAGCGCGATCGCACGCGAGCGGTCTGCCATTCGTCATAGACGAAAGTCCGATTGTGCGAATGATACCGAAAGAATAATAAAAACTTGGAGAGAAAGCGCTTCCTAAAAAACTGCTTTCTTATCGACGAGAGACACTTGAATTTTACGCAAGAGTCGTTCCTTAATTCGAAACAACGCTGGTCTTGATCGAATTTATAGTGACTTTGAAACAAGCCGGTCGTGCAACCGACAGCATGACGTACGATTAATCTCCAGACTTCTTGTTTCGATAGCCCCGTGAGAGAGAAAGAGAAAGAGAGAAAGACAGATGCGATTATGAATTACATAAGATTCTTGTATCACCGCGAGCTGTTGCTGCTTTCTCTGTCTGACCTGGATAACTTGCATCGCAGAGTTCCTATTCTCTCGCCACGATGTTATCGGGGAACAAGAAGAAGGAAAGGAGATAGTTTATTCTCATGCATTTTTTTTATCTATTAAAATTTAAAGATGATCCAGAAATCAGATGCCATTTAAATCCTCTCCAGACTCCTTCTACATCACTAAAGTATAAGTTCAAATCTTGTAAACTCTAGCTTGGATCAATCCTCTGTTGTAAACATTTAGAGGAATCTTTATACAAGACTCGACTCGAGTGCTAGATACATTCGTCCTGACAGAAGGCGAGGATGACGCGAGTATCGCGGCACAAAACCGGTCAGCCGTTTTCCGTCGAGTGTTGTCGAGTCGCCGAAAGAGAGGCGATGATGGAAGACATGTCTGTACAATGTACAGTCGGCGATGTCGACCAGGTTTCGCCATTGTCCTCCCGTCGATTTGCCGCGCCATCGGGCCCGATCCTACGCGTCCTTCTCACGCGCGAACGTGCGTCGCGACTCGAGGGTGACTAAATGAATTAGCATAAAATTGCGAAATGCATTCCGTGGCGAACGCGCGGAGAAGGACGCGCGCTCGTGTCGCTACTTTTACCGGAGGCTTTACCCGCGAGATTTATCCGCACTCGATGCACGTGAGCGTATGTACGTCCACTCATACGTTGCAACGTGCAGGGCCGGCTGGTTCACGAGGCTGCGGTGGTTTCATGTGAAAAAAAAATTTGCATCCTCTTAGTAAAATATCTTCATTTTTTAACGTAGAAAATGATCTTTTGTTCATAATTGTGGTAACAATAATTTTATTCATAATTTTCTGTATCGAAAACTTAATTTTATTAAAAATAGAATGCCAAGTTGAGACATTTGGTGCTGTTTATTAACCTTGTTAAGAAGACAATTTTAAATTTTGATTCTTAAAATAAATTTAATTTTAAATGTAAATAATTTATTAAAAAATAGTAATAACAATAATAAAAATAAAAAGTGGTAATAATATTAATCGCATAAATCATAAAAATGTAATTATATAATAATAAAAAATACAATTTTATAACGATATAATAATACCATGAATTATATAAATATAATAATAAAAAAAATATAATTGTATAAAAATATAAATTAGCCAAATAAAAAACCGCGGGACATACATCAATCATTAAGAGATAAAGAATAAAAAATGGAACCTTTTTCAAAAGAAAATACATGATAAAATTTTATGTTTTATTTATGAATATATTTTTAGCCTAAATTATTAAGACTATTATTTCTTATCCGTAAAAACACGTTTGTTTTTGCGTAATTTATTTGCAGAATAACGTCATATATACAGCGGAAGGTATAAATGATGTCTATGGATATCTATACGCGTCACAGAAATATAGATATGTGCATGGTTGTGTGTATCTCGATCTCGGAGAGCTGAATATCCATTGCGACACTTCCCACATTTCCGAACGTGTAATTATGATCGGTATCAAACTGCGCTCGCGCTGAACTAATGTTCCTTCAGACGAAGTGTAAGATAGACTGGTGATATTAATAGTTGTCTGCATCTTAACGATAAATATATTCAAATTTTGCAATCATGAAAAACAGCAAAAGAATGCAAAATTTCGAGTTTAAAATCGTTTACTCTTTCATATTAGAGCTGAACATGAGAGAAAAATATACACTGAGAAAAATATCCGGTGAAGAGGTAACGAACGGTTATTACACCGATCACTTTAATCGGAAAAAAAAAAGAAATCGGTCAGATATCCAATCAGAAAATATCGATCGATCGGATATCTGATCAGAAAGTTCAAAATTCGTAACTTTCCGATCAGATATCCGATTAAAGTGATCGGTGTAATATCCGTTCGTTACCTGTTCATCGGACATTTTTCTCAGTGTACACATGGCTCTTTATAACTAAAGAGCTCAGAGTTAAACATCGATATTCTTCGTACGATGCCGGAAGTTGCGGGACAAATTGGACGCGGGGCGATGCTTCCGTTACATGCAATTGACGTAATAACGTTTCTTGGCACGCGCGCAACATTGAAACTTGACGGACATTGATTGATGATAGCTTGTTCGAGTAATAATTAGTCGCGAGTCGCGCCAAAAGTTGTGAGAAGCGTCGACAATTTTTTCTCTTTAAATTCTTTTTTTTTAAGTCAAAATAAAATGACTCACAAATTTGTGACGTTTCGTTTCAGGAAGAAGACCGGTTGTACAAAATGACGGATACTCTCGTACAAGGATCGATTTAACGCCGTTGCAAGATGTACGCCGAGTGGCAAAAGGTGAGTCGATTAATCTCGATCTCTCGTTGAAAAATCTAGATTCGTCAAGAATTTTCTCCGCGTGACTGTAACATTCGTCTACGAGCGTTGCCAATTAGTGCGACGGATGTTAAGACACATGAATGGTAGCTTTTCAAGCCTGTCGAGATCGTTTATTGCAAAGCGTTGCAATATCTCGCGGACCCCGCACGACGACCACTTTTCGAATTATCATGGTATTGCACAATATTTACGTGGTCTCGACTGCGGCGGGATCGTTGCGTGGTCAGAGTCAATGATCTGCGCACACGCAATTGCATCGCAACTGCTCGCAGCAGCCACTTTCAAACGCCTAGTCCTAGACGCGACGTTCCTTTCGACGACGCTTTCTTTCGACGATCGAGCCGATCATAATCGATTTTGCGAAACGCGATTTTTATTAGAAAAAATACGCGGAAATTCTGAAGTTTTCTTTACAGATTAGTTGGAGAAACTGAAAATCTATTTATGGAAACATGAATGACACACTTCAGTAAAATCGTGTATTAATTACTTATTCAAGTGCGTTTCTAAAACTTAACAACTTTAATTTTTAATAAAAGTATAAAAATGAAGCACAGAGAAAAATCCAATTTAAAAAAAAAATATGAAATAATATCTTGTTTTTTTTAAATTAATTTATAGTAAATTTTATATAGAAATTTTTAAGTGTAAATTTTATATAGAAATAATTTATAAAATTGTATTTATTTATATAACACTTTAAATTTTTTATTAAAGCTACAAATTTATGCAGTATATTATTCATCTGATTGAGTTGAAAATTTAGCATTTTCAAAATGAAATGCGTTTGAAGATTTTTTTATGTGGACTTGGAATATAGACGGACTGCAAGTATTAATAGCGGTTTCTCACTTTTATTTCGCTCCCCGTGCATCCAGTCGCGGATAATGAACGACGGAATAATTAAGGAAGCATTTCGAAGGCGCGCGAGGCGTAAGGGTATCAACGAAATTGAAATGAATATTAAACAACAGGCTTTATATCGAAAATGAAAATGTGAAATTGCCTGAAATGCGAAATGAATTTAATGAACGGTTCTTTTTTTTTTTACACGTCTCGGATATTTTATTCGGCCGGTCATTTTCAAGCGAAAGACTTCTTACGTAAACGATACCGTTTCTTTTCCTCATTTCTTTTTTATTAAAAAGAAATAAAATAAAGTAAAATAACTTCAAATACGATCGGTCAAGCGAAAAATGCAAAGACATGTCCTCGGTAAATCAATTAAGGACGGTGCTGGAAGAGGAGAGGAAAAAAAAAATAATCGCGTCCCATCATCTTAACGTTGCGCTCGCCGCAATCGACAATTTCTATCGCTCTTCTGCAACTCGCCACGGCCGTTAGACAGAATCGCTTCCCTTCGCGCTCCTGCCACCGCGTGCAACGGGTGTGCATGTGTGCGTATTTAGCGCGTAATTTATATAAGAAGAGAGGCACGCTTGGTTCCACCCCAAAGCGCTTCGATCCACTGGCGTCGGTAGCGTACGCGATTTTTCACGTGTTACATCCTCGGGAGAGAACAGTCTAAAATGGAGTCCAACGGAGGCTGTCGTCGGGAGTAGAGCCTCCGAGATGAGAGGTGCACGGGAGACCACCCGAGGAGTGTCGGAAACGAGATCCGGTCGCTCGATTAGAGCGAGCTGTCATCGGGAATACGGACCGCTTTCCGGGCACGGCCTAATTAACGCGGGACTCAATTAAAATCGCGTACGCCACTGGATAGCCGAGGCAATTGTTGCGGAGAGGAAGACCTGCAACTTCCAGTGCCGCGTCGAACATCCTAGCGTTCGCATCGCGCGAGATCATCTCCTGAGCCGAGAAAAGAGGATCCTCCTCCGAGGAGGAGAGAGAGAGAGACGGGAAGAGAAGGGTCAGTTTTCGGAGGAGGAGGATGACGGGAGCGAGGTTGACATCGCCGAGGGGCACCGTTAACGAATTCCGCGTGTGCGCAGCCCGGACTTTTGCCGACTGACCCAATGTGCCCGATAGAAGCCATCCTCGCGCTCGTGGCCTCCTAACTTCTTTCCGGCCGAATTTAACATGCGCGGCGACGCGGGCTCTCGACTTCTCCAACGGCTCGGGGGTCGCGATCGCGATCGTGACGGGATTCGTCGATGAGGGTTTCTCGGTCCGCCGTAAATAAATCGGAAATAAATCTCTCGACGGGGAAGAGCGATGCGCGAGATGGAGGCTAATGCGAAGGAAACTGGAGCTTCGAGACGGACGATTCTCCGTTCGATCTGAGATACTTCGCGATCAACGGATCTCCGTCGTTGGCTTCCAACGGGAAAACTCTACCACGCGTAGTTTTGCTGGTCGAAGACGCGATTACAGTCGAAGCGGCTCTCGACGCGTGCCCAGACAACTAGTATCCAACTAGAAAACTTGCTCGGGTGACCGTGACGGTGTGCTTGTTTTCCGCTCTTGTTTTTATCATTTTTCGTTTTACAAATACCTTGTCGGTCCCGCAAATTTGAGAAAAAATTATAATTTATTAATTAAGAATCGATACAAAATATGAATACCATGAAGATGATATGAAAAGAAATACATTTAGCCCATCTATTTAGATTCTAATATCAATATTGAAGACTAATGAGAGATAAATAAGTGTCAATTAATAATCAATATATTTAATATTCGGTTGAAGGGGCTTCTCGCAAATTCGCGATTCGTTGATGTATTATACCCCTTATCGATATCCCAAGTGAGACGTCGACTATCACGAAGTGAAAGATGTGTGTCGCGTGTGTTTGATACCTCGGCACGTCTGAGAGAGTTGTGCAGCGGGCATTGACTTGAAACGCTATGTGCGCCTTCATCATGTACTAGGAGGCTATTATTTAGATTGAGCGAACTTGGAAAACACAACTCGAAGCTCAACATCGCCAACAATCATATACTCGCACGCGACGTTTGAGAGAATGAAAGAAGAAGAGGAGATTGAAAATTTCGTCCATCCTGTCCAATCTGAAGATAGGAATTTGGGACATTAAGACTAGAAATCCATCCGGAGAATCCTCTTTCATCCTCGAGGATTACAATCGATAAAGAAACCGAAATTGCGCTCACGCGATTGCGTGCCAAGTTATTCATACATGCAAGTGCGAATAATATATGCGCGAAGAAAGGTTAATTACGTAACGTCCCGAGGAGACACGAGGATCCCGGCGCGAGAGAAACTTGGAAAAAAAAAATTAAACATGACCGATTGCCACTAATAAGAAGGGAATTTTCCTAGCTAAAGACCGTCAACCTCTCATCGGCAAACAAGGATACAGGTTTCGCAAAGAGAGAGGCGTCTTCTGGGAGGAGACGAGCCAACTGTCACTTGGCACATGAAGCTCTCGGCACCAGCCGGTGACACTCTCGCCAGCGATGGCCAACGTGGACCCGAGGCACCAGCACCAGCAGCAACGCCGTTGGTCCGTGGGTCGATCGTCGACCCCGCGGAGTCACTTTTCGCGGCACTCTTCGGAAGCTTTCTACACCAGCGCGGAACCGTTATCCGGCAGCGGCGGACGCGCGTTGCATAATGGGAATGGCGGCGGCCCAGACCCAGATTCGCCGTATTCCGCTCCGGATTCCTGCGGCGCGCCGCCGGAAGCGAGAAACGTCAGGCAGCAATATCGCGCTTCCACCCGGCCGGGGTCGGAGGAGCTCTTTCACACGCTTCCGCGCAACCTGGCCGTCTCCAGGAAGGAGATCCTGCGGCGCAGAAGCGTCAAGGACGAAGCCGAGCAGCCCCGTCCCGCGGAGGGAGACCAGGCGAGGAGACCCACGACCCTGCCGTCGATCGGTAGGCGAGCTCGTCTACAGGAAGCGGACACGGTCGAGCGCGCCTCGTTGCTCCTGAAGAGAGTTTCCAGGCAGGACATCCTGCGTCGTCGCACGAGCGTAGAATCGAGTCCGCAGCCGAGGAACGTCGCGAGAACATCCTTCCCGGATCTCCAGGGCTCTTCGAGTCGCTCGGCCAAGGAGGATCTCTCGCGACCGTCGACTCTGCCGAAGACCCTGCACGCTTCAAGGACGCCTCGACTGGAGGACTATAGTTCTTCGAGGACGAAGGAGGCCGCCGGGAGGGAAGCGCCGATCTACGGGAGGATCCGGCGACGGAAAATGTCGCTGCCGACCGGCGCGACGACGTTGCGTGACCCCGCGGCTTCCTCGAGCACCTTGACGAGGCTTTCCAGGACGAGGACAAGCGGGGACCGCGCGGAGCCGACGACGAGAGTCGTCAGACATCTGCGAGATCCGGTTCCCGATCCACTCGACCGGCCCAGATGCGCGGCTGACGCCGCTGCTGACGAGATTTATGCCAAGGTCGCGCGCAAGGTCGCCCGCCAGGCCTCTCAATCTCGCGAGGAGAGGCAGCCGGAGTTGTCGATCGACAGAGCGATGTCCAGACGGAGGATAATTAGCAAGGCGAATCAAATGGACTCCCTGGAGCGCAGGATGCATCAAGATCGGGATCAGGATGTGGTCAGGATCAGGCACGATGCTATTCTGGTCTCCAGGGCGGACATCGAGCGGCTGCGTAATTTTAAGGCGGGAAAGGGCGACCTCGAGAAGTCTTGTCGTCAAATCGACTCCACCGACTGGTCCACGAGGAGGGATGCGAGGGCGGACTCCTGGTCGTCCCGCAAGTGTCTTCGGAAAGACTCCACGTGGGGCAACGAAAGACAAACGAGATGCAAGTCCAAGTCGCAGAGTGGACTGCTGATGGAAGGACGGGAGACGGAGAGCGCGAAAACGACGAGGCCGACGACGTTGCCGAGCTACATGAAGCTCGGACGGAAGACGTCGACGGGGTCTGCGGTGCGGAACGCGGATCTCGAGCAGAAGCGTTCGTCGAGCAGCGGAATGTTGACGAAGCAGAGCAAAGAGAGATCGAATTATGTGAGGAAGACGGCGACGCGCATCCCCGTACATGTCAGAACGTTTAGCGATGCCAATAATACTCGATCCAACTCCCCGGAAACGTCGTCGTCAATATTTGGCTTTTGCACCGGCAAGAGGAAGGTGCAGACGCAGACGTCTGCCACGACACGTAGCTTTCCATCGTGGAACTTGAAAACGGTTTGATATTGTCTGTGGAATAATTCAAAAAAGTCGCGCTAAAATATTGAGTGTTTTCACCAAGGTTTTGCATTGTTTTATGTCTCTAACGATATAAATATAAAGAAAATTATTATGTTGAATATTTAGGAAAAGAATTATATATTTATATTTTTTCTGAAAAATCCTACACGTTAATTAATATATAAAAATTTAAAAATAATAAAGGTTAAATAATAAATCAACACGATAAATATTAATTTAATAAAAAAGCATGTCATAAAAATATATTTAATAAAAATTATAATTTTTAATACACTTTTTTTTTTCAAGAAACACAAACTTGGCAAGAATATAAATCTGAGTGAAATATTAGGAAAGAAACCGAGAAGTAGGCTGTTATTTAAGTGCAATAATATTACTTGCAGGGTGAGTTGGTGTGGTTCGACCCCGGCGTCGGCCATGTGCTACCTGGCGAGGTCCTGGAATATCACAGAGCCGCCAATGTGCTGTCAGTCCAAGCGGTGATCGCTGGCAAGGTAATATAGCCTGGAGATGGAAAGCGCTTGATGACCATCATTGACTAATCGTACACAATTACGAATGGTAGATTTGAATGAAAGCTTAATCATTAGCTTTAGAGAGAAAGAAAGATTGGACGTACACTTTCGACAGATAAATTTCTTTTATTCAACGATATGCAGCTCGAAAACACGCCAACATGTTTACACGTTTAATTCTCCAAATATATTTAGATTTATCTATTAATTAATTTAATTAATATCGTGATGTCAGAGTCAGCTGCAATCAATATAGAATGTTATGGAAGTCGACTCAAGTCATTGTAATCATTGGAATAAAGTATCCGAGTAATTTGTTCGTCGATTCTTGACTTTCTAGCACGGCCTTATGCATTTGAATGTTTCATTAGACGAGAACGACTCTCACATCGCGCTCGCTTCAATCTGGTTTCCACCTTTTTCACTTTTTTGCCCTTCGCGCGCCTGCGAATTTCAAGTTCGCGTCTCCTCCAACACACTGCCGGTCATCGATCTCTCCCGTTCCGTACCAGATGCGTGGGTGTCACACGAGAACTCAAAATTTACACGTCATTGACGTGGTTTCCATTAACAACGAGGCAGTACCGCGTCATTATGCAACCGACACCCGTGACAGTAGACCATTTAACTCCCTTGCCTGCCCGCCTGCTTTGTGTTCCTTTGCTTTGTCGTGCACTAGTTGCAGCGCTGCACTTCGCCGGTGTCCTATTATAAGAGACACACTGGCGTAAGGTGTATCAGTTGTCTTTGATACAAAAAAAAAACGCTGGATTAATTTAAGACGTATAACTTAAATAGCTCGAAATGGCTGAAATAAAAAATTTGTAAGACACTTGAAAGTTTTAAAGATTGGAGTGTGTTTCAATACTATATAATTATTATATATAAATTATAATGTAATATCAAGACAGTTTATAGTCATATACATGTATATAAAAAAAAATTTCTTTTTCAGTAAATATTCTAAGAAATTCAAATGCCTATCTTTAAATTTGCAAGTTTGACGAGATAATTCTGGAATACTAGAAAGAGAAAAATTCTTTATTACAATTTTTTTAACAAAGAAATTGTTTTTCAATCAAAATAAGTTTCTTGATTCAACAGAGAAAAATAATAAATATGTCAAACTCGTATTATTTTATAAATAATAGTAATCCAGAATTTTTACAATTAAAAAAAAATTCATTTAATAAGAATTCTGAATTCAATCAGAAAAATCTGTGTAAAAATGTATGAAAAATACTTGTGAGTTTTTTATGATTTTAATTCACTGATTTTAAGATAACTGCTCATTATAATTAAAATACTTTAAAGATTCCGCATTCTTAAAATGCATTCAATGCACATAACCGGTATTATTTTCTAGTTCTTTTATTATTGTTTATATTATCAGAGCATTCCAAAAGGATTATATCGTTAAAATAAAATACTAATATTGGTATTAAATGCTAGATGAAATTTTGTGAATCTATCACGCGGTGTCGCCGGCGCCAATGGAATTGCAGTTGCAAATGTAGACGGGCCGGTATCCGGTTAAGTCTCACGTGAGTGGCTCTCTCGCGTCTTATGTGAATTCGCACGAATCCTCCTTTTTTTGTCGGACATTCTCCTTACGAGCCACGCCGAGAAAATGCGGCAAGAACCTATCGCAAAATTCACTTCAACTGGAAAGTTTCAAGCGTTTTCCCATGCGTTTTCTTACGCGCTGTTAGAAATTGCGAATGAAAAGTGTCGCCGAGTAATCGTTGACTCGCCTAAGAATTATCGTCGAATTTGTACAAATGCGTACCATCAGACTGGATTCTCATGAAGAGAAGCGGCGAGTAATTGTGCATAATTGTATGTTTAAGCCGCAAATTTTCACTCTCACCAACCTGAGCGGAGTGAAGCCCAGGCAGGACTTGGGTCAAAATGGCGTGGAAGATATGATTCAGTTGACGTAAGTCTCGATATTATCGTGCATTGATCGGTGCAATCGTGACATGGCTAACTTTGAATGAATTTCAGGGACTTGAACGAGGCGTCGTTGCTATGGAATTTGAAGATTCGTTACGACAAGGAATTAATTTACGTGCGTATCCTTCGACTTTTATTTATTACCATCTCATTAATGACTAACTGATCGATAATCATTTCCGATTAATTTTTTCAGACCTACACAGGAAGTATCCTCGTGGCGGTGAATCCGTACAAAATGTTTGACATCTACGGGTTGGATCAGGTGAAGCTTTACGAAGGACGGATCCTCGGAACACTTCCGCCGTTAGTACATTAATCCTTTCACTTGCTTATAAGACGCAATCTCGGATAAATAAGGATACTGAAATAAAGAGTTATCAAGATTATTTCAAAACGGAAGCCATACATAACTTGTTAAAGTATAAAATCAATTTAATCTCTTAATTGTCAAAATATAAAGTTCATTTTATTATTTTATATTTTATATCCATGTTGCTGTATTAAATGTTATAAAAATTGAATTGAATTCTTGTCAGTCTATGTGTTCCAAGCGGACTACTTTATTCAGGCTTTATTCATCTTTCATAGGCATTTATTCGCCGTGGGTTCCTCCGCGTACAGTCAAGTAACTGCAGCCAATAACTCGAGTGCCAATCAAGTGGTCGTCATTTCCGGCGAGTCTGGCTCGGGAAAGACGGAGTCTACCAAGTTAGTGATGCAATATCTCGCGGCTGTCAATCGCGCGCCGAACAATCTTGTCACCGAGCAGATCTTGGAGGCGACGCCGCTCTTGGAGAGCTTCGGAAATGCCAAGACACCGCGAAACGACAATAGCAGTCGATTTGGAAAGTACTTGGAGGTTCACTTCAGAGAGTGAGTAGTGTTCAAAGACAAAAAATTAATAATCGCTATGTTTGGGTGTCATTATGAAAATAAACGATTTTTCTATTTCTGTCTAGTGGCGCGATCATAGGCGGCAGGATAACGCAATATCTCTTGGAAAAGAGTAGAATAGTAACTCAGGCCTCAGAGGAGAGAAACTACCACGTGTTCTATGAACTTTTAGCTGGACTCGATCAGCAACTCAGGGATAAATACGGTCTGCTTACACCGGACAAATATTTCTATTTAAATCAGGTACGTAAAAAAATCTCCGTATCTTATCCAAGAACATGATAACATTTGCTTCTTTAGGGTGGAAACTGCGAGATCGATGGCAAGAGTGATGTTCAAGATTTCAAGGCACTTCTGTCAGCCATGCAGGTTCTGGGCTTCACGTCCGAAGAACAGGACACGATTTTCAAGATTCTAGCCAGCGTATTGCATCTAGGAAACGTTTACTTTCACCGGAAGCAGATGAGACACGGTCAGGAAGGAGTGGAGGTTGGTTCTGACGCTGAGATACGTTGGGCGGCGCACCTCCTTCAAGTAAATTCCGATGGCATCATCCGAGCACTCACCACGAAGACGACAGTAAGTTTTCATCTGTCTTCAAATCTATTGTTTCGACTTAAAAGGGCTGTATGATGCAACTATTTTTATCTTTTATAAAAAAATAGATATATAAGATCATTATTTTTTTTTTAATTATATATGCGATAAAATAATTTTTATTTAGTATATTTAAGTCTTAAGGGCATAAAAAAATATTGAACATATAATAATGACATGTTTGAATCTTCTATAAAATCTTCATGATTTTTTATCTTTACAGTCAGATATATACATGTCTCTTACGTATCTTTTTCTTGAAAAATAATACTATTGTAATGATTTTTTTAATTTATTCAAAAATAAACATAAATAGATTAATGATTTGATCGTCGCAGAAATTATAATTATATTTGATTGTAAAGAAATTATAAATTTTATAAAAAGTTACAAATGATTAAAGCTACTAGTAAAATTTATTTAAACTATATAATTAAAATTTAGAAAGAATTTATTCAACAAAGAACTTTGATCAAAATGTAGCTAATTATGCGAGAAAGAAAAATAAAAAAAAATTATTCAAATATGTTAATGTTGAGAAAAAGGAATATATAAATAAGTAGTTTTATCACATTAATTGCACCAATTTGCTTAAGTTGACAAATACGCGCATTTATTTTCATAAGAAAATGCATAAATGCATTTTCTTATGAAAATAAATGCGTGTATTTGTCTCATAGAAAAATGTATAAATGTTGCAAAAGCGAAATACATAAATGCATGACCTTATAGGAAGCAAGGAATGAAAGAGTTTTCACAGCCTTGAATATCGACCAAGCCCTCGACGCCAGAGATGCTTTCGCCAAGGCTCTATACAGTTCACTCTTTTCATGGCTAGTCGCACGCGTCAACCATATCGTTTACAAGGGCACGAAGCAAACAGCTGCTATTTCGATCCTCGATATCTTCGGTTTCGAGAATTTCACGGAGAACAGCTTCGAACAACTGTGCATCAATTACGCAAACGAGAACTTGCAGTTTTATTTTAATAAACACATCTTTAAACTCGAGCAACAAGAGTATGCAAAGGAGAAGATTGATTGGACTACCATCAATTATACGGTAAGATTGATTTTTATACATGTATGTTGTGCAGTTTAAAATCTTGTCATATAAGTTCCAAAATTAAGGCTGCTTCTCGCGTTATTTTAGGACAATTTGCCGGTCATTCATTTAATTGCGAAAAAACCAGTGGGCATTCTTCATCTGCTGGACGACGAGAGCAACTTTCCTAAAGCGACGGATCTCTCTTTCTTGGAGAAGTGCCACTACAATCATGCTCTGAGCGAGCTGTATTCGAGGCCGAGAATGAATTCGGCCGAGTTTGCGATCAGACATTACGCTGGACAAGTTTGGTATAATGTGGAAGGTTTTCTGGATAAGAACAGAGACACCTTGAGACCGGATGTGGTCGAGTTACTGATTAGCAGCAAGATTTCGGTAAGTTTTCTTCTTTTATTTGAAAATATTGAAAACTTTCGACAATGATACATTATCGTGATATTTGCAGATGGTGAGCAAGATGTTCCAGCATGTCAGAACCACCCACGAAGCTAACAAGACAGTGAATAAGCCGAATGGCAGATTTGTCACCATGAAGCCGAGAACTCCGACAGTCTCGGCTCGATTTCACGATAGTCTGCAGCAGCTGTTGGAATCTATGTCCCAGTAAGTATTCCGAAGCAATTGATATTAAATAATCAATACGATTAAAAACTAACAGAAGACTTGTAAGAGTTGTAAATAAAAACTTTCATTTTGCGTGCAGATGTAATCCGTGGTTTGTCCGTTGCATTAAGCCAAACACCGAGAAAGCACCAATGAAATTCGATATGCCTTGCGTACTCGAGCAGCTAAGATATACTGGAATGTTGGAAACGATCCGCATCAGGAAGACCGGTTATCCGGTTCGCCTCGTGTTCGGGCACTTTGTGGATCGGTATCGATACCTCATTTCAACGCACTTGCCTAGAGGAGCGCCCAACAAGGAGCTCTGCAGGATAATCTTGGATAGAGCTGCACCGAAAGAGGCGCACTCGCAATATCAGCTCGGGCTTACGAGGGTATTCCTGCGCGAATCATTGGAGAGAGCGTTGGAGTATAATAGAGCGTTGATTCTGGAGAGAGCGGCCATTACAGTGCAAAGGTATATTTCTAAAGGGATAATTTTAAAAATATTTTCTCCCACAAAGATTAAATTATTACAAATAAAATAGATATAAATTAAATATCAGAGGAGAAACACATATGCGATGAAATGTTTCACACAGAGATTATAATTTCTTTCAATTCACTTTATTTTATTTTATTTTATTTATTTTTTTACAGGTATTGAGATTAATGTAAATTAAAAATGTGCGAATTCTCTCTTCCCTGCATAGGGAAACGGTTCGTTGTAACTGTTTTTCTTACAGATATACGAGAGGCTTCTTGGCACGCAGAAGATTCCTCAATATTTCACGCAGCACGGTGCTGATACAAGCGGTATATCGTGGTTACCGCGAACGTAAGCAGTTCCATGCGATGAAGAAGGGTGCGCTGATGGCGCAGAAACTCTACAGAGGTAAGAAACAACGTGAAAGATTCACGGTATTGAAGGAGGAAATGACGAAACGAGCCGAGATCGAGAGAGCCAGTAAGGAGCGAGCCAAGGCGAAGCAGCAACGAGAGGACCAAGAGAGAACTTCGCGAGCTGTTGCCGGCGTAAATCACTTGGAGATTCCCGCAGAACTAGCCTTCATTTATAGTAAACTTGACGGTACGTTTCTGTCAAATCTTACATTTTTCTCAAATATAAATTTTTCAATAATTTAAACTTATTTGATTTTGTCTAGATATATTTTTCATCTTCAGCATCTCTCGAATTTCTGTATTTTTCATAGATTGGCAACCCATGCATACCGAGCGAAATCTCCTCAAGGTCGTTGGCCAAGTCGTCCCGATGAATTACGCTTACAATCTACCGCCCGATATCGATCAGTACCAATTTTCGAAATTTACCAACATTTATTTCAAGAGTCATATCTTCGGGATGAAGCGTGAGCCGATCAAGACGCCGTTCTTAGCAAAAGCACGTGATCAAGATTACACGGATTCTCTGATGATATTTAAGATGATTCTGCGTTTCATGAACGAGAATAATCTTAATGGTAAACGGGAGCAAGCGTTAGGCGACTACATCGTCAACAAGGGCATCGTGAACGAGAAGCTGAGGGATGAGATACTGTGCCAACTGGCGAATCAAACATGGAAGAACGAAAACGATGCCAACAAGGAGAGAGGGTGGCTATTACTGTCAAACTGTCTATCGGCATTCCAGCCTAGCGGCACTTTGTTCAAGTATCTCCTAAAGTAAGTGTTCTTCATTCGCTGTCGCGCGTGTAACGTGTCATTATGTACTGTTGCATCTAATTAAAATTCTTCAATCAGATACGTTTCCGATTACGCCTACGACGGTTACAAGGCTTACTGCCAACGCAAACTATTGCAAGGCGAAAGAACAATGTATCGTGTGATGAATAATAATCAGCAAACGGTGCATCAAGTACCCAGGAATTATCCGCCATGCGTCCTAGAATGGCGGGCCAATAGAAACCGCGTAAATATGGCACTCAGTGTCGGCTTTTACGACGGTAAATCACTTTCAAATATGTTAAAATTAAATACGCGATACGATAAACTAATCAGTAACCTGTGGTTTTATAGGCGAGACAACTACATGCGCGATAGATTCCTGGACGACATGCGAAGAATTGGCCAATCTTGCAGTTCGGAATCACGGAGTGGAGAACACTGGCTGGACCATCACGCTTTGGAATCAATTAGACGGTCCGGATGCTATTGTAACGGAGACTAATGGCTTCGATTACGTTCTCGATTTGATCTCGGAGATGGAATTGGCACCAGCTTTTCCTGCTGCGAAACACATGTTCTTGGAACAACGCAAAAACAGCTTACCGCCCATAAAAAAGCGAGAAGTGCGTGTTTAGTACATGTTTTTCATTTACTTAATAATAAAGATATTTCTTATATGAATTAATAATTTAAATGCAGCGAAGTGGAAATAATTGAAAATAATGTTTCTCATTTAAATATCTTTCTCTAGCACGCTCAAGTTATTCGAGAGTTGGAACAAGAGATGGAAATTCCTATCTTAAAAACCTTCCAACCTCTGGAAAGGAAATCAGTGCCAAAAGTAGTGGACAAACCTGTTGAACCAGAAATCCAGGTGCCCAGACGGCCAGTTGTTCCTCCGCCACAACCGCCTGTCGTCAAGCCACCCGTATGTTTGATTAATTTCTCTTTTTTATTTTTCTCAAACAAAGTTTAGAAAATACTCGGATAAATAAAATAAAATTTGCGTAAATGTATAATTTTGTTTAAAAAAAAAAGGAATTAAAATAGCATTAGTTTAAAATAATTATGTATAAAATATATATTTATACAAAAAAAGTAAAGAATAATTGAGAAAAGTAATTAGAAGAATAATTTTTTGCATTATTTTTTTAAAATAAGATGAGAAAAAATTGCTTGTACATAATCATCTATAAATGTATATACATTTGTATATATATTTATAATATTATATATAATATTATATAATCTAATTATAACTTTTTTTTCTAAAAGTAATGCGCAAAATTTTTTCTATTATTTTTTTATAATTTGTCATGCATAAACGAACAAATAGCACAAAAGAAAAAAAGAAATATGAAATATGAATATATTCCATACTATATATGATTGTACATATACATATTTTTTTTACAGGTAATTGATTTAATATTAATTCAATATATGCGTGACATTTTGCGATATTTTTATATTCATTAATTTTATGTGTAAAGAAATCAATCCATTATCGAAAGTGGTAAAAAAATATTATTTACGCAGATGCGAAAGCAGTCGCATGAGGCCATTTTGGAGACTACGACGGAAACGGGATTGTCGAGGAAGTCCGCCTTGAACGATCGCTACTTCGATAAAGAGAAGCAACGCAGTCGAAGTTTAGACAATTTGCTTCAACCGGAAGTCGTACCCTCGCCGGTGAAGCTCGCCAATCTCGGGCTCTCCTCATCCAAATTGAATGAACGGTATCACAGTCTGGAGAGGATCGGCGAGACTCCAGCGGTCAGCAACGTGGAATACATGACGCGCGGCGAAGTCACGCAAGAGAGAAAATACAGCAGGGCGACAAGGACAACGGAGCCGAACATCGAGGAGGAGGATCTCACGATTGATTTTGAATACCCGGATATCCAGTCGGTCAGTCAAACCGGAAGATCGGAAGACGATAAGAGCTACATAAGATCGCAGACGAGATTCATCAAATCGCAATATCCTGGTAAGCAGACAGGAAAAAATTATCATAGTTATTCGAAATTTTCGAAGATTTTCTAATGAATTTATATACACACATTATATTAATGGTCTCGCTTTCGTTATTTAATTCGCTCTTGCGTAAGATGCAGAATTTCCATCGCGGAGAAAGTGGCGGCAATTATACAATCTGATTTTTTCGTATCGACTTCACGCGGATCGATCATTTCTCTCACTTTCAGGCAAACGCGCGTTACCAGGGAGTCAGTCTAGTCGCGCTTACATCGAAAAGAGCGAGTACGGAGTAAAGTCGTCTGCCATGTCCGATACCAGCGAGGCACCTTCTTTGGCATCGCACGTGCGACGTGTACGAGTGCCTAGCCAGGCGTCCGACGTAGACCAGTTCCTGGATGAGCTCTTTATGCCCGTGCTGGACGGTAACCTTGACGAATTATCGGACGCCCGCAGTTTAGCCGCATCGATAAAAGGTTCGCGCGAGGCGAGGTCGCCTGGCGATCAAACAGTCGTCGAGAATCGACGAAGAATCGACTGTCAAGCCAAGTTTGTCACCGTCGACGATTTTATCGAAGGAATGTTGGCGGGACGCGAGGATATCGAGATCAGCGCTAGTGAACTGTCAACGAGGATCAAGGGAGGTGGCAATATGGATATCCCTAATCAGAATACGGCTTTCAATTTCAGCCCTATCGCGCAGAGCATGATGTCGCCGCCGATGATGATGCCCATGTTCAGTCCTACACAGCAGGTCCCATCCGCTCAAAACACCAATATGAACATGGGTGCAGGCTTTATGCCCATCCCGATCTACAGCATGCAGGGGCTCAGTTTACCTCAATACCCTAACTCGCCGCCTAACCAAAGCGGTGACATGATGGCGTATCAACAGAATCTCCAGCGAGCCTTCCTTCAGAGCGCGATGGCGCAAAATATTCAGATACAGCAGCAGCTACTTGCGCAGAATCAGGCCTTACAACAGCTGTTGGTCCAGAGCCCGCAAAACTCGACGCAGCAACCGGTGAGAAGTTAAAAAAAGAAGCGAGAAATTTATGTACAAAGTCTAATATCCGGAATTTATAAATTTATCGATAACGAATCGATCTTGTTATCGTGATTCGAATAGATTAAAGCAATTTAGCAATTTATGCAGTCAAAACATTTTGATTTTGTAGCTGTATAAATCTTTAATTTCTTTCGGACGTGTCTTTGAATTTATATATTTTATTTAAAAGAAAAAAAGAATTATTAATAGAATTAATAAAAAATTATACATGCAATAATATATCAAATATTTTCTCCAATCACGATGAATCACGATAATTAGATTATAAATAGATAATGCATGTTTAGCACGATCACGAATGGTTCACCGTTGTCGTCGCGGCTCTATCACGATCACAAGTATAATCATCATTAACTCGATGAGATCCATCATTGGTAATCGAAATCGGCAATACCCGCGTCTAATGAAAGCTAACTCTTAACGAAGGTATATCGTCGTTCTGGACGATCCTATGGGTTTCTGAGCCGCGTCACGGCACAGGTGTGTGTTTCCAGAGCACGGTGTTACCCGCTGGCCCCTCAAGCATGAATCTTGTCCCCCCAGCTCCCCCAATCGGTGCCCATACGGGGCCCAATGATTCTATCGGACGCTACTCCAAGGTATCTACTGATTTTAACTAACCTACCTATGCTTCTCGACGACTACCGCAGTATCGTGTAAATATCTAGCAGAATCCAAGGGGAGATATTCGGAATTTCGACCTACCACAAATCAATGTCTTATTCAGCGGATCGTCACAACTCTTCCCAGTAAATTTTAATCTCGAGTCGATCCTCGTTCGAATCTCTCATCATTGTAAATAATTTTTCGGACTCATCGCCACTCGAGAAAATTCCATCTAACATTTTCCTCGATTAGGTCTCGTTTAGAGAGCCCGACGATGTTGAATTATGGTCGACGGAAAAACGAGGAACGTTTGCACAATCTACACCTACGAATCAACGGCAGGAAACGATGACGGTGAAGGCGCAAATCCACAGATCCCAGAGTCCACCGAGAAAAAATTCCGAAGCTGTCAGAAAAACGAGCATCGATTATGCGCGAAAAATTAGCGTGGATCGAAAAGCGGTAGACAGGAAGGTGTCTTCAGCACAGACGGAAACCAAGAGGACCAACTTAAACAAGAATAATGTACAAAGCAATTTTACTAATGTGCTTAGTGAACTGAAGAACAGAAAGAGCAGCGTAGACAGCAATTGTAGCAACAACAAAGGCGTTCCGCCGCCTCCGCCGATGCCTCCGCCATTGGAATCTCATGATCCTTCCGAATCCAGACCGTTTCTCGATCCGTATGGAAGGGCAAAGACAGTACGCATTGGAAAATGGAGGTAACTTTGATTTGAATTGAATTTTATTAAGAAAAATTTATGATAGATTAATTCGATCTTTCCTTCACGTTAAATCTTAATTCTTTGCTTCGATATTGCTTAGATGGCCGCCGCCCAGCGATTCGAACGAGAATCAAGGACAAGACAGTTTTATAGAATTCAAGATGCGTCAGCAACAACAACAGCGCAAAATAACGCCGCAGTATCAGGAGTACGATCAAGGCGAGGGCGAGCATGTGACGGAAGGTGGCGTCGAATGGGAAGAGTTTGAGATTGAAAACATCGTCAGCAACGAGGATCGATCCATGGCCGCGCATCCACCAGTGACCACGGCCAAACACGAGAACGGATACAAGGAGGAAGGGGAAAAGAAGAAGAAAAAATCAAAGTAATTGAGACTAGACATTTCTTTTCACGTGACGTTTTACGTATTTTATTTTTACCAATCTATTCATCTCTCATCGAACCTTAATTTTTTTACGTATTTCATTTTTACCAATCTATTCATCTCTCATCGAACCTTAATTTTTTTACGTATTTCATTTTTACCAATCTATTCATCTCTCATTGAACCTTAATTTTTTTACGTATTTCATTTTTACCAATCTATTCATCTCTCATCGAACCTTAATTCTTTTACGTATTTTATTTTTACTTTATATTGTATGTATTATGATCAAGAAAAACGTAAATTGTCAAATTTCTGCGCAGATCGGCCTTGGAGGTGGGGGCGCAAAGACCATCACCGGGAAGTATAGGGAAACTGAAGCTCAGCTCAGAGATGAGACAGAGATTGGAGAAGGTAACGGCGAATCACAGCGTAAGATCTACAAAGACGGCCGAGAAACCCGCCCTGCCACGAGAAGATGGGAAGGTGAAACGGCTAGAGGATAATAGAAAGCTTTTGCTAGAACAACAACTAGGTAATTAAATTTCTTTCGTACATCAAGAAGTATAGAGATACTAAAATTACGTGTAAAAATATATCTAAATATCGAGAAAATCAAAGAATTATTTTTTTAAGGCGGCAGATGGGACGATTATGCTTCCACTGTCGACGACACCCAAAGCGTCACTTCCAAAGGCACAACTGACATGATGACGCAAGCTCAGGTAGTAAGAACGCAGATTGAGAGAATGGAAAGACCTGTACCGCCTCCACCACCTGTCACGCCACCACAAGCTTCGAGTCCAAGAGGTGGCAGTGTATACAGCAACAGGTATTGATTGTTAAATCTTATCGAGAACTCAACGAATCTTTACAAAACAATTTTTTTTATAATTTAATAACATTTAAGAGAGATTGAATTTTTGAAAGAAAAATTTTTTTAATTAAGAGAGAAAAAGATCTTGATTTAGATGAAGTGTCATCAAATGATGTGCTCTGTTTTTCTAGTCAATCCGGCGTACCTCAACCGCGATCACCACCAGCGCCGATCGAACCGAAACGCGACTCCTTCCGCACATCTCCGGACTCTGAGACTTTCGATCACTTCTCCAAGAGTCAGATGTTCAGCCAAAGCCGAGACATCTTCGCTTCGCAGCAGCATCTGCGCGACAATCACTCTGATTATCGAAACGATTATGAAAAATCTCGTGCTCAGGACGCCAAGTCGAAAGATTTTTACGGGAAGGACAGCACCGATCTCGCGAGCTTGGCGCGCGATCGTAGCTCCGACTTTGATTCACGCCGCGACCTTGGCTCGGAACTCTTCGACTCCAAATACGCTTTCGATGGTTCGAATGGTAAGCGCGATCATTTTGTCATGACTCGAGACGTGTCTCCGAAATCTCGCGATAGCTTTGGGATGCCGTCGCCGCGGGATTTTGGCGTCATACCAAACACGAGAGAATCGTTCACTGTCGCACGACAGAGCTTCAACAAGCTCGATCGGGATTTGGACAGACGATCGAGCGTAGCGTCGACCCATCGCACCGACAAGATGGAGAGGATCGAGATCGAGGAGTGGCCAGAGTTTCTCAAACCAGTATTACCTCCCGCGGACAAGCCGGAAATCGAGAAGGTCCAGGAAGTGGTAAACACCAAACTCTATCCGCAAACATCTACCGCGCATTTCACGTACAACAGAGTCACGTGGACCTTGAGAGTCAAAAAGGAGGTCTTTGCGCCGAACGAGATGCTCAACAGTCCTCTAGCGTTACATCTGGTGTTCTGTCAGGTCGCCTACGACGTACTGGCGACCTCGAGCATCAGAATCGCCAAGGAAGATCGACAGAACATGCTAAAGATGCTGGATAACTACGGCGTTACTCTGGACAATCTTCAGAGCACACAGCACAAGATTACAATCAAGAAGAACATCGTGGATATGGCGAAGCAATGGCCATTGTACTTTGCCAGGATATTTCCCGTATCGGTAAGTTTATTCTCTTTTTAACAATTCTTTTGTGTCGATTAAAAATATAGGGTGTCCCATTTTAAAAGTTCCACCCTCATTTGCAATTAACAATTACATTTTTTTTTTTCGAAACAATTAAGTGTTTTCTTTACACCAATTGATTCCTCTCGTTATTTTGTACATAAAAGTATTAAGGTAGGATAATCGAAAAATGAATATTTTATTAGATATTTTACGGTTTATGTAAAATTAAGAAATTATTTCAAGCCTCATAACTCGGAAAGTACTTGATGAAATCTAACTTAATTATAGTGTTTTGGAAAGCTCTCGAGATGAACTATAAGAATATGCAAACGCATATAGGGTGTCCCGTTTAAAAAGTTGGATGTGATCTTCACGTTTCCTTCAGGTGACTCTTCAATGTCAAACTAATGACACCATCTTATATCCCCCTTCAAGCCATACAACTTTTGTCTGAAACATTTTTTTCTACAATCAAAATTTAAAAAGTTATGAGGGTGGAACTTTTAAAATGGGACATCCTGCATAGAGAAAACTATATAAAATTAACATTAATCTGGATGCTCTCGCAGATCGGCCCACAGCATCCGGAGACGCAACACGTGGCGATCTCGCATCACGGACTTCGGCTGATCAAACGCACCCCCAACGGCGATTTGATAATCTTGGAGACGCTGCCGCTGGAGGACATCGTCTCCGTCAACTCCTCTAGAGCGGGCGTGTGCGTCTTGCAGATCGCCTCGGGGGTTCGGTTACCCCTCCACACGAATCGCGCCCCTCAGTTGGCGGAGATGATCGGCAAATACATTAGACTGGTGAGCGGAGGCCTTCTTGTCTTTTTCTCTAAAACGCACGCGCCCGTCCACGACTAATTAGCGATGGATCGGCGCGGAAACGATAACGGTGCGCCTCGTAGTCGTAACGAGAGGCGACCTGTAGCGGGCAACGCCTAGTGTAAATTGCGTTTCCGGTGAGCGGTCATATATGCTGGCCAATGCCTCCTCCCTCTTTTTGTTTCTCCTCTCTGCCCCCTCGTCTCTCCCGCTTTTCCGCTGTCGAGAATCAGCGATCCATTACCGAGCTCGCCTCGATACCTTTCTTCTGTCTGTACCGGTTCGTTTTCGGCCCGAGTACTCGCAATATCCATCTCCCGAGAAGATTCCCTTGGAGATTTGGTTCATTTCGTCATCATAATTTGGCGAGAGAAGCGCCCAACTTTCGGACGCCTTAATTTTGTTATATTTTTGTGCTGTCAAGATTACGCGTTTGACGTAAGAATCTTAATCGCACTTGTCTTTGGTGAATAATTGAAATCGTGAGACACGTAAAGCGGTTTTTTTTGTGCGAGAAAGAAAAAGAGAGAAGAGACGTATTTCCCTCCACATCTTTTGTGCAAACTTGAGAGAGATCAGATTTCTCATAACACACGGTATGCCTGTTCATCATCTACACCTGCATGCACGTCACCGCACACGATTCGAGGAGCGAGTCATTTAGCGTGACGGACGTTCTCTCGCACAGACATACCGATGGCTATGAGATACAAATGAATTCTTAATAAGAGAGAGGGAGAGAGAATATTAATTTTTTTTCAATATTTAATTTATCAAAGATCTTTTTCAATATTTAATATCAAGGCTTTCACTTTTAAATTACGGGCTCTCATTATATGATTTCAATTTCTTTCTTTTTTTTTTTTTTCGGGAAAAGAGAAAATCAAGAGATGCGATGAATCAAATTTTCAATTCAATGCCTATTAGAGTGATCGCTATCACGTGACACACATTTGACTTGTGCGCGTGTACGTGTACATATACATATATATATATATATATATATATATATATATATATATTGGAATAAGAGACGTAATATGCAGCATTGAAATGTAGGAGGTAATTTAAAAACTATGATTCCTTGTACATTGAACTTTCGCTGCTATCTCACTTTCACATCGCCGTTGACAATCGAGTCGTATTCGTTCGCTTTACGTTGCATCCTTGGATCGGATTTTTTCCCGGATCTTTTCTCGAGGGGCAATTGGCGCATAAACGGCCATCCGTTAAATAAAATATATGCGCACAATTTGGAATTCCATTACGGATTATGTAACGGTAAAAGAAGCGAGAATCGAGCGCATGTAACGTTGCCTCTCGCGGCTCAAGGAGATGAGCAAACGGCATCTATAATCGGTAGAATGATGTCAAATGATCGGAACGGAGGAATGTGACGAGTCGCTGTAAAATGCGTGTCTTGTAAAAATACGTCATTTTTCAGTATTCCTGTCGATGCGAGATGGAATCGAGGAGAAGGTCAAATGACAGTTGTAGAAAGCTAACAATCAGTTGTATAGCTCCATTGTCTATCACGCATTTTTCTCAAGGGATGAATAATTTCTCATTTCACTTTAATATATTTCTCTTTCGTTATTAATTAGTACATCTTTCACGCGTAAAATCAAATCAGGAGCATTTGACGATTTCAAGTCTTGAAAACTAAGAGTACGTGCAATATAAAAATAGTACTTTTTTTACACAGAAAAAAAATAAGTGTCAAATCAAAACTTACATACTTAAACTAACGCGTTTGTTGTTTCGTATATACACAACAATTTATAATCTTCTTAGAAGAATTTAATAATTTTAAATTTTAACAATTTTATAGTCTTATTTTAATATTGTAATTATCTCAAGAATATATAATTATTTAATTCTACTTGAAAAAAAATTATAATCTTTGATTTAAAAATGTTATTTTCTATCTAACATTGTTTTTTTCCATTCGAGAAAATTAAATCTTAAATCATAAGAATATATTTTCCTCGATTGAATTATATAAAATGGCTTCATTCAAGTAAGCAATTATTCAAGCAATTATATTTTTCTTTAACTAACGCAATAAAATCTCATTTCAAGATTTCCATGTTAAAACTAAATATATTTTCAACACAAGAATATTCTTTTTTTTCTGTGTATTTAGAAAAATTGTGTCTAACAATTTCTCAATGAATTTTCAAATAATGCAGTCATTCTAGTTTGATTCTTATATTTCCTCGCGTAAAGGGACGATGAAAAAAGAACCTTAGATACTTGAACTTCTTTCGAGCGAGTCCGAGTTCAACTAACTCGTATTTACTGATGGTAGTAACTCACTCCCCGCACTTATACGGATACCGGAAGCGGTTTGAATTGCTAATGCGAAACGGTGTTCTCCTTTTCTCTCTCTTTCTCTTTCTTTCTTTGCTGCTGGCCCAGTTCCCTTTAAGCCCTTTGTTTTTTTGTTACGTCAACTCTTAAAAAAATATTTTTATATAATCTGTATGTGATTTTTTTTAGATCTCGAATGTAGTTGGAAAACTAAGATTTTGCGTGTATACTGCTTTGCAAATTAAACGGTTTCTTGCGTGTTAATTGTTTAATTGACACGAAATAGAAAAGAAATATAAATCTCATTAAAACACGCTCGTACCTTTCTCTCTTCTTGAGGGAGAGAGAGAGAAAACACGCCAATTTACTTCATTATCTTCAAATGAGGAGATTAATTTTTGCTGAATTAAGAATTTAAGATAAGGAGATACTTATATATATTTATAACATATTTATTTTCGAGAAAATAATGACGTTAAATTATACTCGAATTTCAGAAATTATAGCTCTTACTTAAAATAGATACATCGAAGCTTCCATGAAGGAATTACGTTAGAATGATTCGCATATGAACTGGGCAAATGACTATGAATGAAAGTTCAATATAATCATCGCTTTGTGGAGTCGACCGTCCAATCGAGTATCTCGAGGCCAAAGAACCTTTCATTAAAATAATAGCATCGTATCGCAAGCGCGCGAAATAAACAGCGACGATTTCAATTTCACTCGCGCATACCGTAAATTCCCACGTGACAGCTCGTCAGCTGACATCGCGGAACGAAAGAGCGCGCGCGGTTAATAGAAAATGTCAGATTGCGAAAAGTTTTCCCGCTTTCGCTATCGACCGGTCTTTCCGACGCTGGACGAGAAGAAAATTTCGCGATCCAGAAAATGCGTTTCGTTCTCTGAACCGGTGCCAGGAAAAAATGTCTATTGACACTTTGAGTAGAAACGAGCTACCAGGTGAGAAAATATCACCAGCTGACATTTCCCCGAGGAATCGCGAGTTTCTCGACGAGATGAACGTGGAAATAGTTCCTGGAAAATTCAAGCTTCCTTAGATAATCACACGAGATAGAATCGCAGAAATTTATAAGAAATTTAAATAAAGTGGATAAATCTTTATTATTATTTTTTCATTATTATTTTTTATTATTATTTATTTACATTTTTATTTTTATTTATTATTATTTATTTTTTGTTATTATTTTTCATAAATATTTTGACTATAAAACTGTGAAATAAAAAGTATAATAATGTATTATATAAGAATGATTTCAAGATTGGATATATGACGCATGTTGCGAGCTACTTTAGGACTTAAGGGTGCAGTTAGGGTCTACGGTAATCGGTCGTTTCCGCAGCAGATGCGTCAAACAACCCAACAACGTGTGAATTTCGAAAGTCGTTCTTGAAGTCGCGGGACTTTGAAAATCCCGGTTTTTTTTCCTCGCTCTTCAATAGACGAGAGAGCACACGCGGAAAAACTGAAAACCGTATCTCGGATGGTATTCAAGCGTGGGACTGGAGATTTTGCCGGAGACGGCTCCCATCGAGCCGCAAATCACAATAATCTCGCGTAATGAGCTATCGCTTCCGACTTTTTCCTCCCTCTTCCGGTTCCGATTTCTATTTCATTGCCGTGCTCGCGCGCCGCACAAAATTACTCGACACACAATGTGAAGGATTTCCTTTCATCCATAAAGATCTTCCACCAGCTCATTGTCAGATTGGAGATTATTCTTTAAAAAAAAATCAACTCTCTCGAGGCCAGTTGTTTTTAATTCATTAATAAATTCCTCGCGAATTATCCTTTAGAAACTCAAATAAATATATTGAAGTTCCATTTTTTTAATATCATTTTTTAATATTATTTTTTAATATTATTTTTGAAATTTGAAAATTTTATAAAAAATGGAACTTAAAATCGGCCGTAGCGATAAAACCAGGTGCAAAAGTTCCGAACTGCATAATATTTGCTCCGTTTTCGCTTGATCAGCATTTCTTAATTTCGCTCTGTTGATAGTAAACAAAAGGGGAAAGGCAAACTTGGAGTCATTCTTGCCGCTCGATTTACTTCACGCGACCACGATTACCATCTTGATTATTTAAGCGCGAAAATTTCACGTGTAAAACAATTTTCTCTATCTCTCTTTCTCGTCTAATCGAGAACGCACGTTCCGATCGAACAAGATCGGTGTAAAGAGCTCCTCTCCGCGATAGGTAGCACGATTTTCCAAGCTAGCGTGAGCCACGCATGTTGCGAGGACCCGCTGATGGTGGGGCACTCGACCCAGATATCCGTCTTCCGAAGGGGCACCGTCGGAGAGCGGCCCTATCGGAAGTCTTGCGGCCGCGAGAATCACCTCAGTTCATCGACTGCCGTCGTGCTACGCGGTGTAACGTGCCTTCACGCTCCGCGGCAGGACTCGAGTGTTGCGAAGCCGACGAGGAAGCCTTCGACTCGAATTTCCTGCTGAAGAAACCAGGAGCCATCGTCATGCAAAGCCTCAAGACAAAAAGACGTCAGTTCCCCAAGCTAATTTTCCAAGAGTGAAGAGTGTTCAAGTTCCCTACTGGCTTCTACGCGAGTTTAAGATCAACGAGCAATCGCGAAGGAAGTCACATCTTATGACACTTTGATGCTGAAGCTGATGATTATAAAGAAATAAGCAAGAAGATATTAAAAAGAACGTGTCTTCTTTTAATAGCATGTTACTCGATAGAAAGTAGATAAAGTGAAGCTTCGTTAACTTTTATGAAGACTCGTTTTCTGGAGGAAAACGCAGCCTGTTATGTCAAAGCAGCGTGTCTCTTTATGCCAGTTAACATTGACGAGTGATAATCAAGTGTCAAATAAACACGTTGAAAAACATGACGAGAGACTTGCATAGTCGTAGCTGGCAACGAGGTTCAACAAGGTCGATAATAAATAATAATAATCGCGGTCGATTATTAATGCACGGCTATCCACTTTGGACCGTGTAGTTAATCAACGGCCATTATTCTCTCGCAGACAAGATACGCTATTTGCCTGGCAAAAAACAGCGACGTAAAAACGACGATTTAACGAAGAACGGATCGTGACAGCGATTGTTGCCCGATCATCAACGATCTCGCGCGAGTAGAAGGTCGAAAGGGTCCCTCGCGTTTACGTAAGCGAGATCACATGATCGATCCATCCGTTGTTTCCTGATTTCCCAGCGGCTCGCTTCCAACAGTCATCGAGAGACTACGATCGTATTTGCATGTAAAAGCCCGTTATCTGATCGCATCGTCATCTGGCGAGTATCCTCTCCGCAAAGGAGATTCACGAGGATTTCTTCTCGTTTTTAAAAACAATCCACGCCTTGCATACACGAATCGTTGTCACTCGACAATTCGCAAGGAAGCATGAAAGCTTTCTCGCTCGTCGCGGCGGGGGAGAGTTTGTTGGTGCGAGGTAATTATAATTAAAAGTGTACATTGTTCCACCTGGGTCCCACGACAGCCTTCTTCCGGCCATGTTCTCACCATGTTCCGCGGATGGTCCTTCCTCCGTGATCTACATCCTTCGGAAGATCCGAGTGAAATTACGATTGTTTGGAATTAGAAGAGCTACGGAACTCTGCTAGTTAAGGAATAATTTCGATAAACGAGAAACTGCAGAATAATTGCGTTTTATATCGACATGTGCATTTCATCAGGATCCGCTTTCCCTTGAAAACTCGACGAAATGGAGAGAGAAGTGTCTGACACGGAAGGCGTGTTCTCCAGGAGACTTGTCAGCAACTGGGCCGAGTTGCCGACGACGTTGAGACGTCGACAGAAACACCGTCCGGATATTCTCAATCAGTTCACCGACTACTCCGAGTCTTCGGAAAATGAGCTCCATAAACTTGAACCCAAAGCCTTCAGCAACGTGCAGCGAATCGTCCATCGTTCCGAGTTTCTGCGCAGACTGGAATCTGGCGATCTCGTTCGAAAGGACATCTCGGATTATCGAAAGGACATGAGGGAACGCAGACTGACGCCCGAGAGTCCCTTGAATCGTCTAGACGAGGGCTATTGGAAACACTACGACAATCAGGATTTAAAGTTGGCACATCGAAAGAGGAGCAATTTCATAGGCAGGGAGATGAAAAACTTGTCGGACGAGGATCGCAAGACGAACTCTCCCGATAGCCTTCTGATAAAGTCCTCCGAATCCGAGTTGAGCAGCGACGAATACGGACACACCGATGATTCCGGAGCGTTTCTGGAACAGGCTTCTCATCCGGACAAGACGTCCAAGTCGAAGAGAAGCAGCTTCATCAAATTCTTCGCAAAGGACAATAAAGAGAAGAAGAAGCAGAACTCTGAACACTTGGACGTGAACAAGAATATTAAGCAAGAGGTCCCCAAAAAGGAGACTCCTGGCCAGAAATTCGAGTACGAGAACATTCCTAGAATAGACGTATCCAGGTTCGATCAAAAGCCCTTTTTGCATCCGATCGTTCGAACGAACGATCGCCAGCCGACCATCGAACAGCTCAGGCTCGAGGAAGGTTGCGAGCTGAGAAACTGCAAGAATGTCGTAGCAGCCTCGAAAGACGCTCGAGAGACGAGGCAACCGGTTCAGCAGAAGTCGAAGGACGATGAATTGAAAAGTAATACGATTCAGGAGTTGTACGACGGCGAGCAGGTCGTCGCACGAGCTAACGGTGAACGCAAGGCGGCAAAGATGGAGACCATCACCGAGGAGAACGTGGACGGGAGCAAGCTGAGCGTCCGCGAGATTCTGAAAAGATTCGAGGAGCTGAGAACCCAATCCGATGCGATGGCGACGTGCAACGATGGCGAGGCCGAGGAAAAGACGAACGATAAAACCCTCACCACCATCCAGGAGACCTTGAAGAAGCTAGACGAGAAAGTCAAGAATTACCAGGTTGCAAGTCCATTCGTCACGTTTATTATTATCTAGGAATCCGAGCGTTAATGTTCTCGTCTCGAGATAGGATCGAGTGAACTGCGTCATACGCGAATATTATAGTTGATAAATCCTGATGCAAAATAGTATAAGTAATCAATCTTAAATTAATGAGGCAGTATAATTTATCTTTTATGCAAATTTCAAAGAGACACCTGGAAGATGTCCCTTGGACTTTTTGTGTTATTTAGAGAAAGAGCTGTTAATCAACTTAATTGCTGACTCGGGAAGGTATATTTTTTATTTGTTGGAAGACTGCGGGATTCAAGGCTTTTTCCTTTAAATAATGTTCGACATACATAGTCCATTTTTGTTATTTTTGTTAAATCGATGATTATCTGCCGCATTTGTATAGCTGTCTGAACGCGTGGCAACCGCATTTACGTCTTACGTCGCGTCTCGGTGCATTAACGTTTATGTAGGTCAGGGTCGACATCTGGTTATTCTACTCGCGCCTTCATCTCTGCACCGATTATCGATATAATTCCCGCTACCGCTACCAGACAAAATCGCGATTCTTCTGTCGTCTACTCTATCTAACGGAATCTCGATTATTTGCTTACGTGGATCAGAATAGAATTGATGAATTATTTTTGGGCAAAGTGATGCGACATTTGGTTGAAAATCAACATGATTAAAGCGCTCAGCATCCTTATCACACAGAAAAAAAGGACTTGTTTTGAAAATATATTTAGTTTTAACATGGAAATCTTAAAATGAATTTTCTTGAGTAAAAAAGAAACAATGTTAGATAGAAAATAACATTTTTAAATCAGTGGTTATAATTTTCTCAAAGTAGAATTAAATAATTATATATTCTTGAGACAATTATAATATTAAAACGAGACTATAATATTGTTGAAATTTAAAATTATTAAATTCTTCTAAGAAGATTATAAATTGTTGCGTATATACGAAACAATGAACGCGTTAATTTAAGTATATAAGTTTTGATTTGACACTTATTTTTTTTCTGTGCAAGGAGACTCTTATCAAGGCTCTTAATAAAATCATGTCTTAGCTTTGGTTCCACTCGATTTCTCCAGCCTCTCGCGAAAGAGGCGAGAGGAGTTTTACCTCATTTTTCTCACACTTGAAATGATACTTTATCTAAATAACGATGAACCATTTCTCGTCTCTCAGCGGATCTAATCGATCGATATTTTCTATTTTTCGAGAGGGGAGGAAATCTGTGGAACACGCGAACCGTCAGGTTTCTAACAGATATCGAAGAGAGGCCGTACGCGATGGGGATATTAAGAAATGTACAGGATGTAATCACCTACTTTCCGTAGTAAATCTCGTCGTAATTGACGAAAGCAGAAAGACGAGCGAAGGAGTGTCTTCCTCGGTGCCTTATCGCTTCTTTTACCTGAGCTATGTTGATATTAGACCGAGGTACACGCGAGAAATCGCGCGTATCTCGGAAGCTCTCTGTCGCTAATTTACTCCTCTTCTTCCCCTTTTTCCTTCGTTTCCTCTCGCAGCGAAGGCTAAAAGGAAGAAAACACCTGCGATGGTCGCGTTGCATTCCTGTTGCACCAGGTTGCGGTACACTTGACAGGCGGGGGTAAACCCGTTTGCTCGCGTGCTAGGATCGTCGAGGATCCCGCGATAGCGCCAGGAGGAAAAATGCAAACGACACGAAAATTGAGAGAAATAGAGAAGCGCGGAAAATGGATCTGTTTATCGCAAATGAGATCGCTTTTTGCGACAGTTACACGCGCAGCTTGAAGCGACTCAAGAGGATAAACTGACATCTTCTTATCAACTTAATTACGAAATAATCTCTATTAATGACACGTGTTATCTCTTAAAATATGTGTACTTTCAGAGATAAAGATTCAAACTTTATCTCGCGAATTTATTACACGTTTTTCAAAGTGAATAGTAAATTGAAAAAATTTTCTTTGACTTTTTTGACTTTAATGCAAATTGAAAAAATTTTCTTTGACATTTTAGACTTTAATGCAAATTTTATCATCGATATAATATTAATTTATCGATGAAAATTATATATTTGATTTGCAGATCGATCAGAAGCCACTCCAGAAGGTTAATCATCACGAGAATCACGTATCCCAAATTACAAAAACGATCCAGGCGCAGGCGAATCACGTGAATCACATCCAGGCCCATAATCATGCCAATCACGTAATCTCCGAGCATGAGAATCACGTATCGATCGGTCGCGTGCCCAACCACGTGTCGGCCGTCAACCAAGCGAATCATCAGAAAAACCTGCAGAACCAGCTGCTGAGTCCGAGCCAAGAATGGCGACAGCCCGACGACAACGTCAGACTCCAGGAGGACAGCATCTACGAAAGTGGACCTGTCTCGATCAACGATGGCAAGCACTCCTTGTTGCAATATGCCATGCTAAACTTTCGTCAAAGCACAGAAAAGTGAGTCGACATTTTCTAAAATGATATCAATTTACGCTACGCACTCATAAAAAAATACTTTAGAGCGATTAAGTACGAGCGAAATTTAATTTATCTAATCGGAAGACTCTATCAAACTTTTATTAAATAATTAATTTGCTAAATATTAATATTTAATATTTAATTTAAATATTAATATACAAATATACTAATATATTTAATTAATTAATTATATATTTAATTAATTAAGTTAGAAGTAATTAAAAGTAACTCTGTAGAAATTGTACTTTTTAAGATAATTATTCACAACTGGAAATAATTGCCTTCGCCAGTGATAAATGTCAAAAAATAGTAGGTGAGCGAGCTAATTAAAATAAGATCGCTTCTTTCTCAATTCCGACTGATATGAAGAACACACGTGAATTGCGCGGAAATTAATGCGAAGTGACTATTAACGGTGTTACGCAAGCGAATCGTGTTGAGAAAGCATAACGCAGCCGGTGCAAGATATCGATCCGACCACCACGTAATGTCTTTTGTATTGTATTCGCGTTGGAGAACGTTGGATAAAGTCGCGCATGCAGGCAAAGATTGACCCTCGAATATCCTCGATAGGTTCGAGATGTTGAAGACCGCGGACGGGTCGATCAGCGGGTCTCTTAAGGTGATCGAGTCGCTGAAGAGCAAGAAGAAGAACAAGAAGAGCAAAGGCCAGCCGGATGGTACCGAATGGACCTGGAAGGAACAGGTGGATCTCGTCAAGTACTCCACCGTGCCCATCGAGCAGAGCCTGCTTAGGCTGGACGCGGACTTGAGTGGTCTGGCCATCGAGTGCTTCCTGTGTCTGATGAGGTACATGGGCGACCAACCGTTGCCGCCCGAGACCAGCGAAGTCAAATGCGTCTACACCATTCTCATGGTAAATTTATATTAGGATATTTTTTTCGATTTTATTGTCCCTTTCCAGAATGCATAATGTATAATATTTCCATCATTTTTGTATTATATATTACCGTAAATTTATCCATAAATTTTCTGTTAAAATTTTTCTAAAAAAGTGTTGAAGACAATGAAATGCAAGTATCTTTATTACTGTCCTTGTTTTTTGGTAATTTTAATTTTCATTAATTGCTTGATTAACAAATATAATAAATTAATAAATTAATAGACATATAATAAGATTAATAGACAATATAATAAATTAATAGAAAAGGTTTGATTAAATGACGTATAAATTATGTGGCATATTCGCAGCATTGTCACAAGTATGAGCAGCTTCGCGACGAGGTCTATTGCCAGCTGATGAAGCAGACCACCAATAACAAGAGCCCGAATCCAGAGAGCTGTCAGCGCGGCTGGCGAATCTTCAGCATCGTCGCCGCCTATTTCACGTGCAGCGAGAATCTCAGGCCCTACCTGACAAAGTACCTCGAGACAGCAGCGTACGACAAGCGTCGCGCTTATCACGGCACCGCGATGGTCTGTCTGCAGAATCTTCGGAAGACGGTCAAGTATGGCGGTCGCAAAAATGTGCCAAGTGTGGAGGAGATCATGGCGATCAGCGCGGGCAGGAACGCAAAGAGGCAGATTTACCGGCTGCCCGGTGGCACCGAACGGGTCATTAACACGAAATGCACGACCGTCGTGCAGGATGTTATTGAGGAGATGTGCAACGTCATCTCGGTGAGAAACCCGCACGAGATGGACGAGTTCTCATTGTATTGCATTGTCGACGGTGACGCGTTCACTATGCCACTGGCCAGAGACGAGTACGTCCTGGACGTGACCACGGAACTTCAGAAGAACCACCAAGTGTTCTACTTAATATTTTGCAGGTATATTTGCAGTCACGTATTTATTGATATATTAATATTTAATCATTATAATCATAATTATTAAATATTCTTTTTTTATAAACTTTCAAAAATTTTATATAAATTTTCTTAATTATGATATAAATTTTTTATTATATTTAATATCATATTTGTGTCAAATATATATCTTTTCGAACACATGAGATTATTATTAAGAAGATGATTAATTTAAATTGCAAATTTATATCACAAAACTAACAAATGACAACTAACAAATGACGTTTCTTAAAAATTATTCTAGATCTGTCTGGTACTATCCCTTGCGACTTGATGCACCGTTGTACATAGAGGTCGTGTTTAATCAAATCGCTCCCGACTATTTGGAAGGACTTCTTCTAGTTATATCTGGAGAACACTTGTCTCAGGAAATTATTGTAGGTACCGCGTGACATCTGTTTAAAAGAAGGAGAGAGAGTTTCACTAAATGAAGAAATGGTTAACTGATGACGAGCATGTTTTACAGTATGACATGGCGCAAATAGCGGCACTGCTGCACAAAGCAGCCGACATGGCGCACGAACCTGCAACGAAGGAGATTAAATATCTGTTGCCGAAACCGGCGCTCAGTTTAAGGGAACCCAGGCCGCAACAGTGGTCCAATATGGTCCAGCAAGCTTGGAACAACGTTCAGCATTCCTCGGCGGCTGTTTGCAAAGCGCAAGTGCTCGGTGAGTTAAAGTAGAGATTATGTACTAGATGAGAAATTTCTCATTCCACCGTCGATTGTCGAGTCATTTTCGCAATAAAAATAACAGCGTTTCATATAACATTACTTTATATTTCACACAAATTGTTTCTTACACGAATAATGATGAAAAAATAATTTCTCCTCGAGATTTATTCTAATTACGAGCGAAATCTCTTGAACGAAAAGTGTGAAAAATTGTCACGATATAAAAAATTATAGATGTAAAAAGATATATATTTTTTGTATTTTCAGAAATATTATCCAAGTGGCCGCTTTTCGGCTCGAGCTTCTTCGCGGTAAAGCGAGTACCCGAGGGCAAGGAAAAAGGCGCCGATCATATCCTCGCTCTGAATCGACACGGAGTGCATTTCATCGATTTACTGACGCACGTAAGTAACTTTCGAGGCGCTTTCTCTTCCTGACAGCGTTTTCCTCTTTTTCCACGTGTAATTATTTCAGGAAACATTGTACCATTACCCCTACTCCGAGGTGATCTCCACTAGGAAGGTCAAGTCCGAGGAGGGCGCGCTCTACCTCGACATGAAGTGCGGCAATCTAATGCAGCAGCGTATCACCAGGCTGCAGACGGAGCAGGCACACGAAATCTCTCGTCTGATCAGACAATACATCACTATGGAACAGAGAACGTCCAATGGTCAAAGTGTCAGCATCGGACTCGGCATGAGATAAGCATCTTTCCGACGATCCTTCCTTCGCGACCGATACTCGATATCCGGATTAGTCAATCTATGAGGCCATAATTGGAATCAAATCAAGTCCTCGATCAATATGTATCATGTGTAATATAAAAAAGACAAATCCTGTGAGGATATCGTAGCTGAAATCCGCCGATAATTTACACATCGCGGTACCGTTCTTAATATAATTTTTGTATAAAGAGTACCAACCTTTTAGAGTGTTTACGAATTACATAGGATACCAGGTAGGATAGGTCCGGAGCCCGACAGATGACAATCCGGGATGGATATCGGGATGAATACTCATAGGACTTGCTGGAAGGAAGGATCGTGAAAGAAACAAAATGCTCAAATATCCAGGGTCGGATTTAAAAGTGTGGAGACTCTATTTTTAAATCAAAATCAAATAGAAATTTTTACGTCGTTTAAATAATTTATTGCGAAATAACAAGGTCAAGCAATATACATAGACCTTGTAAGTGTTGCATTCGATAGGAAATTTTAAAAAATTTGTGTTGTGGAGGCCCCTGGGCTTCAGCCTCTGTTGCCCCCCTCCCTAAATCCGGCCCTGCAAATATCTAAAGCGTTCATAATTGACTCGTAACATAATTGAAATATGGACTTTGTGTGTATGTGTGTACAGCATTTATTTATATTGTTTAGAAAAGAACAGAAACATATAAAAGAAAATAAGAATACGCGAATAGATTTTTATTCAGCGACGTAATATTAACGCTGATATTAACACATTATCTGACGAGTATAATGGAAACTAACCACGCAGCGATCATATGTTTATCGTCAGAAGATTATTAATAATAATTGTGTACGTATGGATATAAGAGTACAATGTGAACGGACGTATCAACTTTATATTGAAATTTGTATGTATAAAAAAAATGCGTTATCATTTCCTTTTTACCTCTATCATTTTGACTATATGTCTGCATCGTCTTTCTAAAGGAATGGATACAAACTAATGCAAAAGTCGTTGCAATCCTGTGTAATAGATATTCCTTCCATTTATTTCACTGTTGTAAATGCTAAGTATAAATGCTATTTCTTGTGGCATCTCGTGTATCTGGTACACGGCAATTAAGTCTAAATCTTACAAGATATACGAGAGAGAGACAATTATATTATATATTAATTGCTTTTTAATCCTTTCACGGCTAAATTATTCGTGAAAACGTTTAATGACTCTATTGTAAAAGTAGAGATGAGAATAAAATTATATAAGCGCTTATGAAAACTTAATGAACTCGAAGAGAGTCGATTAAAATCGATTATTTTACATAAGAAAAAAAAACTCACGTTCTTATATCGTATAAACTAGCGATCATGTGATTAGAAAAATGGATCAAGGACAGTCATGAAAGGATTAAATTCTGTGATCGGAGCCAGGTCTTGGAGTGTTCGATTTAACGTCCTGCGGCCAGTTACTTGCAGTGTGTCGAACATATCCTGGCTCGGTCGGCGACGACGGCGTCCTCGGAGTTTGCGTCCCGGTGGTTCTCAGCACGCCAAAGTATTCCTCCAGCATCTCGATCTCGTCCTTGGACCTTTCCCGGCCCCCGGAACGATATTCCTTCGGCGGAGGCGGCACGTTGAAGGAGGACACGTCGCGATGATGAGCCTTCAAGATCCCGGATGACGGACCGCGCATTCTGACGGGCACGTTGTCGTACTGACTGTTGTCCGAATATCTGAATTCGCGTTCAAATGAAATTATTTAAGTATCGGCACGATACATAAGAACCGCGTGAATCATCGTGAATCATAAACTTCATGAGGAAATCACTTTGCCAGCGATTCTTGCAACTCACGTCCACGATGAGACTCACTCTATTTTAATTTTGATTAAGGCAATCATTTTTTTTTAAATCCTTAATTATAGATATTAAAAAACTGAAAAGAAAAAGATATGCAACAATGATTCGATTATATAACAATTTCAAGAAAGACATCTTTTCGAAGATTAAATCTTTCGAAGATTAAATAAATAATATTGCTTTCATAAAAATAAAGAAATTTAAAGAAAGAAATTAGAATTTCCTCAGAAATTAAATTGTACACTGTAAAAAAGTATGTAAAATTACACATATAATCAGTGTAACAATTACGCTATTTATAACGGAAATATATAAATTCATGTACTTTTACAAAAATTAGTTCTTTACTCTTTATTGTATAAATATTCGTTTATATTTGATAAGAAATTACAAGATTAAAAGTGTAATTTTTGGATTTTATGTAAATGTACAATTTTTTTGTAGCATTTATATAAAATTTAAAAATTATACTTAATAAACGAATATTTACACAATAAAGAATTAAAATAACTAATTTTTGTAAAAGTACATGAATTTATACATTTTCGCTATAAATAGCGTAATTGTTACACTAATTATGTATGTAATTTTAAATTAAATTTAATATGTGTGTGAAATTGTATAAATACATATACAAAATATATTATTACATTAACATTTCTAGAAATCTATTTCTAACATGTAAATTTATTAATACAAGATGCTTACTTACCATTTAAGATAATAATTTTATCTATGAAATATAAATTTAATAATGTATGTAAATATACACCTTTAATAGTTGGTCTCAATATTGCTCACTATAATAGTTGTAAATTTGCACAAAAATTTTTTACAGTGTGCGTCGAATTATTTGTATAACGCAAGAATCGCTCGCGTGCGCTTTTCCTCCTGATGATGTAATCCAAGACGGCCTAGGCATTGCCGATGCTTAAATAAAAATTTCCGAGCCAGGATGACACGCGACGAAATTCCGAGCGACATGGACGCAAGAAATCACCTGTAATTGTCGAGCATCTCCTCGACGTCTCTCTCGACCCTCATGATCTTCACGCTCGGATGGACGAGCTTCGCGAACAGCGCATCTCCCTTCTCGTACTCTGTGGGAAATCGCGGCGTGTCGATCTCGTCGATCGGTCGCTGATAGATGTCCCGGCTCTTGTACGTTATCCTGGACTCGTCGTTCCTGCGATCAGGCTCGCTCTCGCGATATCTCTGCGAGTCGCGTAGAACTCGACCGTTTTCGAAATTCTGCGCTCGTTCCCTCGGTTGTTCCTGATCGCCGCGAACCTCTCGATCGTCCCGAGAGTCCTCCTGAGGACGAGCCACCGACGATTCCCGCTGGGGTCTTGCGGCTTCGACGTGACTGTCATCCGTCTTCTGGAAGGCGTCGTTGGCGCGACCGTCCTCGTCCTCGGGAATTTTCACGACGGTCGGCTTGGGCTTTGACTTTGCATCCTCACTCGTCACCATTGGCGTTACCTGCCGCTTACCTGTCAGTTTTTGGATAGATTTAGAGAATTTTAATTACGAATAAATAATAGAGATAAATAGAAATTCATTAATCGCGTTATATTAATTAATCTGCTCACCTAAATCTTTTTCCAGGATTCGCGCCTCGTCCTGCTTATCCTTCTTGCGAGGCGGGCTCATGAGTAAATCCCCGATGAACACCAACGCTGTGACCAGGCACAGCGCTCCCAAGACTGCAGCATTGTCGATCAGGTCCTCGGGGACGCTGTCGATGGACGCCAATGACAAGGCGCCGACTATCCCGAAGAGAATCACGCCCAGTCCGAGTAGGAAGAGTTCCTGAATTTAAATCGAACTTGATAATGCTGGCATCCGATTGGAATGCAATCTATCGATTTGCATAATTGATTAGTTGCACGTGGAAACTTATTGTTACGCAAGAATCCTCCAGAGGAGTCCTTGCGGAGACAGAATCGACGCGAGATGCATAGTTTTCAGGGTATTATAAACGACATTATGAAGGACGAACGCTTATTTTCGATGAGCAAGGCACTTTCTTGGAATACACGAGATCGACAGGTCGCTCAAGATCGGCCCAGCCTCAGGTATGAGTCATTAAACGAGTTACATTACGTATCTCGATTGACCAAGGCTGCGATCACGTGCGCAAGAGTCCGCGTTAGAGGAGGACATTCTTATCCTTGGCCCCTCGCGATGACGCGACATCGCGTCGCGATTTTCTCACGCCACCGTTTTCTCTCGTCGAGATCTACGCGTGGCGTATTTTCACTCGTCTCGACCAACCTCGGAATAAATTAAAGGCGCCTGGGAATAATCTCGACGCGTCGAAATCAATCCTACTCCCGCCATCGCGTTACGTGAAACTTCCTCCCCCGACAGGCTCCTCAGCAGTTCAAAAGAAGGAACTGTTCTCGCAGATGAAGACGAGAGTCTGCATAACTCGAGGTAAAAAAAAATCCATACAATTTTTCCCTTTTTCTTTTCTTTTAATACAGTCCCATTTTCAGGAGCATCCTGTCAAGTCTACTTTCATTTTTTTTTTAGAGATATATCGACTTGATGTCCAACAATCGAAAGGTTCGTCGACTCGAACCGTTTCAATGATTTGCCTCCATTTACCTGGAGACTACTTTCCTAATCTTACTAACAAGATCGAGAGTCTACGCCATATGTCCCCTACCATGGGTCTCGTATTGTCGACGTACATTGACGGCAGTCGTTACGAAACGCATCTACAACACGTATTCCTGGCCTATGAGAAAAAGAAAGCAATTATTACCGTCTTTCGACCGCGAAGTTCCCCGGTAGCAGCGGCGATCAGGAGACCAGTCGTTATAATGACGTATCCGCCGCAGGTCGCCGTTGCCAGAGCAGCGCCTAAATTCGCGGAAATCAGGAAATGAATGTGTTAGAAGAGTACGATTGCCGGATACCAGTCAGGATCTCTGTAAATGAATCACGAATATGTATATACCTATGCTGCCCCATGTCACGTTGTTCAACAGTGACCACTCCCTGCTACGACTCCTCAAGTAGTGAAACACCCTTCGACTCTCATCGTCCGTTACCCTGAGTGCCACGACGCAGGCGATGCATAAGAGCTGCAACCGGACAATTTTTTTGTTTCATGTTTCAACCTCATTCTTCGATCATTAAAGTCTCTAAGCTAACATCGATAATTAATAGTAATAATTTGATATCTTGTACTAATTAATTATCGCTGGTATGGCTTATATACGTGTTAATATAGAGGTAATTTTCATTTCATGGGACTATAAATGCATTAGATTCTGTCGTAACTGTTTCTTTTAGAAGCGGAAACGAAAAGAGAACTCAATGAAATTATATTAAATTGATAAAAAATATACATTAATTATATTATAATAATTATATCATTTTTAATTATATTATATTAATTCATTCCCTAACAACACGCATGTCCAAAAGATGTCCAGAGATCATCGAGAGGACATCCAGAGGACATAAAATATCCTTTGGCTGTCCTCCAGATATTCTATGGACGTCTTTTGGACATATATGTTGTTAGGGTTAATTTTATATTTAATTCAGTCATTCATTTTATTAAAACATATTTAATTTTATTAATATTATTAAATTAATTTGAGTTAATATAATTTATTATATATAATATTATATATAATATTATATATAATATTTATTATATATAATTTATTTATTATATTAATCATATTAAACTGCTTTTAGTGAGTCAACTATGTTAAACACATGTCGGCGCTTTAATAATATCACGTGCATTAATCTTGAAATGAATCTTTCTGAAAAGATGGGCAAGATCGAAAGATATTCATTTACATACCACTTCGACTATTCTGATAAAAACCTTGCGGTTCCACATGATGCTATCACTAGAGATGCGATTCCAAACGAACGACTAAAGGGACGAAGGACGAACGGTTGTTTGCGAAAGTCTCGTCTCTTTTCGGCGTAGCATTACGTGAATTCTCAAGCTATTAACAAATGGTCCTCATTTACTTTTGAAAAACGCTATTATTCGCATTAGCTTTTGTTCCGTTCACCGTTTGTTCCGAGGATATCCTTGGCTCCGAGTCAAAGAATTGTAATCACTTCCAGGTAAAAATAGAAAAAGGTGACAAATCTTTCTTACATTGTAATGTAGAATACTATAAGTATTCTATAAATATACTATAAGTTTTAAAATCTTGCCAAAAAATTTACAATTCAATAATGGCAAAGAATAGAGGGAAAAAAATTATGAGAAACTAATGGAATATTTTTAGAGTAATTTTTTCTACATTACATTATATGTATCATAATTTATTAATATTTATATTAAGAAACCAACAAAATTTTTGACAAATAAAAGCAATCTTAGGCTGCTTTCTCCCTTTCTTTTTTTTCTACAAAATAAATTCGTTAAATAAAAAATAAATTTCCTATAAAATAAATTCTTTAATTTTAACTTCTAATAAGAAAATTCTTAAATAAATAATTTCTTTAATTCTTAAAAAAAAAAGATCCTATAAAATAAATTTCTTAATTATAAATCTCAATTTATTTAAAAGAAAGAGAGAGAGAAAGAAAAACTATCTTATGTTTCAAATAAATTTTAATAAGAGAAAAATAAAATTTCCTATGCAACATTAATTTAAAAAATATGCGAATTAATTTTCAGTATTCTCAAAAAAAGCACAGCACACTTTATTTTCTCGAAACCGCCTATAAATAATAATCCTTCTTTTTTACAAAAATAGATTTTCTATTTACGCCGCTTCGAACGGACTCGTTAAACGAAGACTTGTGCTGATTACTATTTGATAATGGAAAGTAGTTGCGTTATCACCTGTAACGGAGTCACGACGGAATTGCAAAACGAAGCTTCGCATCACGACGCGCCCGAGCGACGACTGACAAGACGTAAGCGAAGGTGGAGTTGCTTACACGCAGGTTGGCGGCACCGTGTGTCATGTAATAAGGAGCTGCCTGCATGCGAACGACAAATAACAATGCTATTATCACACACGGTGCAATGGCGCAGGACGATGCGAACCCGAATATGTGTCACGGAGAAGCTCGTCGCGCTCTCCTCGTACCTTGAACCCGTTTGCAACGCGCGTTAAATCGTCTCGTTACCTCTGTATCTTCGATTTCTCGATGTCTCTTGAGAAGACAAGAAGGTAATCCAAGCTCTCGATAATTTTCAATTTTTTTCTCGAAGTTAGAAAAGAAAGGAAATATATAAATATTGTTCAAAATTCTAATAAAAATTTTATTTTTATTAAAAATTATTTTTAAAAGTTACTTTTATTAAAAACAAGAAATAACAAAGAGATGCTTTCGAATAAAAAAATGGATGCTCTACATAAATTAAATCTCGTTAAATGTCTATCGATAATATTCTTTAAAATTAAATAATCAAGCAATATATTGCGTGTTTGAATTCTAATAAAATTTTATTTTTTATCAGAGGCAAGAAAATAAATAATAAAAAGATATTTTTTCGAATAAAACACAAACGCTCTATATAAATTAGAATACAAAATAAAACTATTCAATTGAATACAATATAAAATTGAGATAGATTAAAATAAAAATTATCTTTTTAAATTAAAAAAAAATTTAAACCATATTTACGATAGAATCATATGAAGACTTGATTTTACAGATGCGTGCTACGAGAGGCGTAAAAGAATCAGCGCGTGTAACGCACGTGTCATCGATACCGAGAGTAAGAGGCACGCGATAAGATCAATTGTTTGACAGATGCCGGCAATAAATCTTCCACCATCGACAGACGAAAATCGACCCGGTATAAAATCGGTTCGTGTCTCGTCTGGCCCGAAGGAGGAGAAATGCGCGGAGAGGACAAAGCTATCATCCCTTCCACGTTAAGCTGTCGGCCAATCCTGACGGATACCCAAAATCCTCGTCCTTCCTCGAGCGAGCGCGATCACAATCCGGTCGTTCTTCTCGCCGGCAGGACCCGAGTTTATTTCTTCTCATCGCGTCAATAGATCGATTCTGAGGAATCTGAGGACCAGCAATTAATAGTCTCGATACATAAGAAAATATATCATGCGTATATATGCGCGTGTATTTACACCCATCTATAAATTATTACAAGCGTGATACATATATACGTGTACATATATTATTCTTATGTCCACGATCGCACGCGAAATCGTTTCGAATCAGCTGATATCGATTTATTGACCGGGAGATCGCGCGCGATGGAGAGCAACAAGTCAAAGGGCAGCCGCCGAGGGAATAATCGCAGGAGGAGCGGCGCCAACAAAGAGAACAAGATGCGAGAGACGGAGAGGATGAAGAAATCGAGGAGCGAGGAATCTATTCTGTGGTCTTATCCTGTATTTTCCGATAACGAGAGCAAGACGGACATCGCGGAACAGGAAACGTCTGTGGATCTGGAAAATTTTGATAACGGTGAGTTGTCTTCTCTCTTCCTTTCGTCTTTTATCGCGCGGAACGTAATTATGTCTTGATGGGTATAAACTCGAAATAAGTGACGTCACGCGAACTAAAAATATTCCGCGTCTCTTGTTTCACGCGTCTTTCTTCCGGGATGGTACGTGCGCGGCGAGAGATGAAAGAGAGAGAGAGAGTGCGTACGTGTGTGTTATTTTTCGAACAATGCTTTGCCATGGATACGATTACGCGGTGTTTATCATCAGTGTGTATCGGGCACGCAAACAAAGGTGTAACTGATAGTTCTCTTAAATGGATCAATTTATATTCGATTATATTATAGAGAAATATTTTATATATATTTAACTGCGAAGCAATCCAAATTCATTATAAATAATCTAATAGCAATGATAATCGCGTCTTATTGTAGCAAAAAACTTGTTCTTTTCTCAATGAAACGACGCATTTATTTTAATCTCTTAATTGTTACTTATTTTATTATTATAAAATATATAAATATTATCTTATTATAAATCAATTATAAATAATATTATTTTATTAAATTATAAATAAGTTCAATTAAGTATATCATTTTATATATAAATATAAAATATATAATTACTTTTAATTTTTATATTTATAATAAAATATAGATTAATAAATTATAAATAATATTATTTTATAAATAAATTATAAATAATATTATTTTATTAAATTATAAATAATTTCAATTAAGTATATTATTTTATATTATAAGTAAAATATATATTATTTATAAGTAAAATATATATTATAAATAATCCAACATCTGTACTAATAATGCGCAGGAAACGAGAACAATCCGAAGACCTCACTCATGTGTCCCGCGTTACGCCGACAATTGCAGACGCACAAAAATGTTCTTCGGCTCCTGCACGAGTACAAGTTGGCCTCGACGCAGATCAACGGCCAGAGAATCCTCAGCATACAGCCGATCAGATGGACCGGCCCGACGCCCGGGATCGATTGCGAGATCTTCGTCGGCCGCATCCCGAAGACGATCTACGAGGACACCTTGTACCCGCTGTTCAAGACGATCGGCGAGATCTTTCAGATACGCCTGATGGTGGACATGGCCGAGTTGACGAGGGGCTACTGCTTCATCATGTACACGAATCCGGAGGACGCGGGACGCGCCATCGTCCAGTTGGATCAGTACGAGATCTCGCCGGGCAAGAAGATACGAGTCCTGGCGAGCGTCAACAAGTGCAAACTCTACATCGGTCCATTGCCGTGGTACATCGCGTCGGAGGAGGTTGTCAGAGTGAGTCTTTTCTGTTCATTTTTTACGTCATATTTTTTATTTTCTTTTCGCTCATTTTGATATTTTTCGCGTTAATATATTATTAATATAATTTAATAAAATAATAATTAATTAAATTAATATTAATATTATTAATAAAATAATTTATTAAAATAATAATTAATAATATTATTATTAATGAAGTATTATATGTATATTATTATTAATAAATAAATTATATTATTAATGAATACATTTTATTATACATTATATTATTATAATAACAGTTTAATTTTAATAAAATTCTTTTTTCTTGTTTTTTTATTTTTTAAATATTTTTAAAATATTTTAAAAATATTTTTTAAATATTTGATTCTTTCCATGCAACCAGGTAATCTACGCATCAGCATGGGATATCGAATACGTGTCAATCTATCGATTTCCGAATCACGACGCGGCCTATGCTATAGTTTCCTTTAAATCGCATCGCAACGCAGCTTTGGCGAGACGAAAATTGAGACCTGAAAAGCTCTTCAAGTGTAATGAAGTACACGTGGAATGGGCGCGGGTCGACTGGAATCCTTCTAATGTGGTGAGTGAAAAATTTTTATTGTTTTTCCTATGCTTTTTTCTACGAACACATATCAGATTTCAACGATTGAAATTGAAGCATCAAAGTTTAATTTAAATGGGATACTCTTTCAACTATTTTATTTTACTTAAGAAAATTAATAATAATATTCTTCAAAGTATGTATGTAGTATAATTTTTAAAATGATTTTTATAACTTAATTTTTAAAATGTTTTTTATAATTTAAAATTACTTTTAAAATCTTTTTATAAACACTGCTTCAATTGAAATCGAAGATAAACGAAGAGAGTCAGCAACGATTATAATTTTTCAATGTATTCGTGAAAATAATTTATTCATACAATATATGAAATTTATAAGTCTTGTTTTTTCCATTAAGTTATGTCAAATTGGAATGCGTATTGATATATAAAGAAAGTCAACATGAATCAAATGTTTAAGATACTATTATTTTTAATGCATTTTTAAAACAAACTTTTATTTATACTTATTTAAAAAACCACGATTAAAAAATTAATATTGAACACGTGTCTGCGTCGAATAACATTTCAGTACAAATTCCTAAATTATCGACGGAGTTTAGCGGCTCGTTCGAAACAGTTTCGCGTGTTTTTCGTCATGAGGCGCTCGATACGATTTAATTCAGTTTTTTTCATTCATCTCGGGCTGACTCGGCCGGACTCGGCGCATGTATCGATCAGCTGATCAGCTGATCGGCGCACTTGTAGTTCCATTCATGCGGTCGCGTCGAACAGTTCCTTTCCGTGGAATTCTTTCTCGATTACACAATGAGCGTTTCGAAAGTGCAGAACGGTGACTATTGTGATTACCGCAGTCCTTTATCGACCCGGTACGCTTCGAAGGAGATGCGGTACAATTTCAGTGACCAAAATAAATTCAGCACGTGGCGCAAGCTCTGGATCTACCTGGCTAAGGCTGAAATGGTATGTGCGATAAAAAATACACGAGCACATCTGTTTTTATTGTATTATCGATTGTTTTACGTTAACGCGAAATATAACGATAATCTTATATTGAATCTTGCGTCTTTCAGGGCTCTCGCGAAAAGTATATCAGATGAAACTAACCTCTATGAGAAATAATTTACGAGAAAATTAGACTTTATATCTGGTCAAAATTAGACAGCGTAATTTGTAAAAATTCTAAGACGCGATTCGTCTTTGAAGTCGGCTTTTAAAATTCTTTATAAAAAGTATAAATATAAAATAAATAAATAATATAACGAATGATATAAACAATAAATAATAAAAATAGTAAGTAATAATAAGCAATAATAATAAGTAAATAAATTCAATAAAATAATATAAATTATATATAAATATTTTTAGATAACTTTTGGAAAAATTCTTATTTATCTATGACAAATAAATATATAGGCAACAAGAAGCCTATAAAACTATTTTCATGCATTTATATTGCCACATCTTATCGATTTACGCAAGATATTTCGAAAACAATGTTATCTAGTCCACAAAGGTTATTCGATACGTCATCTTAAGATGTAAGATCTTAGTAAAGACCTCAAGTTATAGAAAAGATCATAATTAATTATTATCCAATGACGAATATATTAAAATGCATTTACACAAATTTCAAAAATTAATTAATTTCTTTACATGAATTCCAAAAAATTCAACAAAGGTTTGACTTTATAATTCTTGTTATCGCAAGTTTAAAGAAATAATAAAGTACGCATTCCAATATGACATTAGATGGGTTGTTTTCTTGTGATACTTGAACTCTCTTCGTATTTCGATTATAACAATACGGTCGATTTGCACCGATAGTGATCATCAGTCCAATTAAAATTAGCTTTTTTCCATATTGTATATATTTTATTTTAGTAAACGATACATAAGAGATATGTTTGACATTCTTGTTATTATTATTATTATTATTTATTTAGCTAGGATATTATGCAAAAATATATACAAAAAAATTTACTTTAATTTTAAATTAAATTAAAATTAAATTTATAATAAAATAAATTTGATTTATAATATTAAATAAAATAAAATTTAATTTAATATTATAAATAAAATTTATTTTATTATAAATTTAATTTAAAATTTAATTTAATATTTTAATAAAAAAGATGTCTTTTAGACACTTTTGATTAGAGATCTCTTTCAAACTTTTGTATCACCTCGAGATTAAAATTGACAAACATCGGTGCAATCAGACCTACACACTTGGTTATCTGGACAAAATTTAATTTCTCCCCGAACCTCGCACATTTATATATCATCAGTACGAAGATCGCGGGACGGTAGACAGTAAGGGCGACGTGCACATTGTTCGAAAGTATCTGCCATCAAAGAAGACTACGATGTTGGAAACGTCGATTCCAACGCACACCGAGCTTAATCATCAGAAGCAACTCCCGCCAATCTCTCCGCCATCATCGCTCGATAACGACAAGGATCAGGACAAGCTCGACAAATCTGCTCGCAACTGCAACAGCACCCGTTACGCCAACATGCTAAGCATGTCGGCGACCCTGGACGATGACCTTTCGTCGCGCGTCAAAAAGGAGATGCTAACGGACATCAACGACAACGTGCAGCAGCTGGACGTCTTCAAGGATCAGCAGACACATCAGAAAAACGCCATCGAGGCGGCAGATAACTTCCGCAACTTCGACATGTGGAGCTCCAGTCTGGTCTCCCAGTTGCCCGGCTCGCCTACAACCTCCAGCAGCTCGAAGGAATCACCGAAGACGACGTCGTCTCTCAGTAGGAGCATCGGCAACCGATACTCCAACAGCGTTTCGAATTACCATCGCTATCCTTGTCACAGCTCTCGTTCTTTCGGCAAGACGATCGATCAGAATCAGCTGATCGTCAGCGACGCTGTCAGGTACCAGGCCGTGCCTTATCACCAGAATCTCGCGTCCTGTTACGTCCTACTGCCTCAGAGTTATCTGTGTCCTAAGGATGCGATCGTAAATTACCCGCAATCTTCCTTCGGTCTTCCTGATGAGCAGGCGTGCGCACCTCTCGCTTTCGCAGGCTGCGATCGTCGATCGTTGTGGCACAATGGGAACCAGATGGGCTCGATCGCGATGGATAAAGACTTGGTCATCATCAATGGCGAGTCCCGACGCGACAGAGTTCCGACGAAGCCGGAAACCGACGTCGCTACCGGATATGTTCAAAATTATCCGAACATCATGTTAAATTTCATGCCAATCTACGGCGACGAAACGACATCACCGTACCTCGTCTCGATGGACGCGATGGACGGCAACGATGAGAAGCGTCCGAGACCGATCTTGAAGCAGACGACGACCAGTGGCACTTGGTTGTGATTCTTCTCTCTTTTTTCTTTTTCCCCTTTCTTTCTTTTCTTTTTTCTTTTTCCTTTCCTTCTTTCTTTCTTTTTCTCTTTCTCTCTTTTTTTCTTTTGATGACTGCTTTACGCAGATTTTAGAAAATGACGGTGCTCAGACAAAGATGGCGTTTTTATGTTTTATTTCACGCACTGATTAGAAATAATTATATTAGGATATTTGTCTTTATTTTTTTTTTTTTTAATCATAGATGCTGCCAAAGACTTGCATGTAGGTAGTATTACGAATCCTTTTTACGCGTAAGCGTTGCTAAAAGAGCTCAATCTAGTTTCTTTAGCTTGTAACTTGCTCGTTTTATAGCATTTTAACGATGCAATCTCGTCCTAGTATCTTTGAAAGCACGTATAATCGTTGGCACAAATTTATTTTTTTTACGATCGATGCGTAATTGCCTGATCTCGTTTGCAACAACATCGCAGATTTATACCAGATTAAGTTTCATTCGCGCGCTGCCGCGGTTTACTATACTTATTTGAAAGCAAGGTAGGAGCCAATCTAAATATTTCAATAATCGCACGTTTTTAAAAGACCTCAGATTTTTTATCGTTATATTTTTATTTTTTATCGTCACGCGCTCGGAGCGAGAAGGAGGTTCTGGAGGACGCGTTATCAGAAATTATGCAATATTGTTCGAAATCGCTATATATATTTTTTAACGACACAGACTGCACAAATACAAAAGATGAAGGTACAAATGGCGGTATACATTTACAAGATTACAAAGGATTACACGCGCCAGAATGGAAATTGGTATCATGTTACAAAAGAGGTACGAATCATGTGTTCTCCCGATGTTATCTAACATTACAATTAATAATCAGCTGCGATCTTTCTTTCTCGTGCTCCTATTCCTTTTAATATTCGCGCGAAAAAAAAACAAATATACGTTCTATTATTACTTATCGCTGTTCCTAATGACTATTATATTATAAGGAATGAGTTTTTAAGACAATCACGATATCGACGCTTCCGGTCACGACTCGCAGTATCTATTCTATCGACGTGAGATATCTGTAAGATTGCGTTACAACGCGTATAATTACGTTACATGGAGGAAGGAGAGGAAGCCGCAGTCTGTCTCTGCGATTGACCGCATTTTGGACAAGCGTCCGATTTCAGCTTAATATTCTGCGAATAAAAAATCGTTTTTGATCGTCTTTAATTTTGGCCGATGATCTTTGACAGATCAGCTGACAGATCAGCTCAGTTTCAACACTTACAGTTTTAACACGAAGAGACAATCGACAATTGGCACACCGTAGCTTCTTCGAATCCGCGATTTCGAGCTTGCTCGTTATCTAAAAAGCGAAAAAAAAACAAGATAGTCTTTTTTTCAAAGCAATCAAGTAATTTGAAAATTTGCTTTCATCAATCAATTTGAAGAGATACCTTTTGTTACTTTGTTTGCACGATTTTACACAAATAAATATATTTTAATCAGATGTTTGTAATAATGCAAGTTGGAATAATAATTTTTATAGCATGCATATATTGGGATATTTACCTTTTTACTGTCTGTTGGAGCGCAAAACCCGCAAAAGTATCTCTCCCTCTTGTCTTTAAAGATGATGTTGCAGTAGTTTGTCGAAGTTGATGTGAAGCTCTAAAAATATATGCAATTAAATGAGAAATTTCCAGACAATCGAAATAGGAACCATCGTGCTCTAAAGTCACCTGTCGCTTGCAGCGCGAACAAACATCATTCATCCGATGTTCGATCGGGTTCGGGAACTCTGCACGTTCGTTCTAGAATAAGAAACGAGATACACTCTCTATTGTAATCTATTTTTCAGAATTTAATAACTACGCAAATTTAATTTTTTATACTTTTGGAACAACCGTACTAGCAAGTGTCCTCGACGTTTCCGGGACGGGAACTTGATCGGGTATATCTCTAGATAATGTTACAAGTAATAATTGAAGTTATATTTATACCCATGGTACGTTCAAGTTATTATTTTCGGCTGCTTACGCGTCTCTGATCGGATCCACTCTGTTCGATCTCAAGTGCAAGAGTGTCCTAGGTTTCGTCCTGTTGCTTACAAGGGGCGAGATTAATGTTGCACTTCTGAAAAAATAGTTTTCCCGATTATAACATTTGTTTCCTTTAAACGAGCTCAAGTCGATTCAGTTGCGCTAAATCGATTGTCGATTTGAAGAAATTGCCTACATTTGCGTGCCTACGGTGTGTCTCGGCGATCCTTTGGGACTCGATATCCTTTCCTTTTCCGACACGCGCGTAAATTGATAAATTTGACGCTCCTCCCTCCCTCCCCCTTTGATTCTTTCAATTTTGCCGTCGATATTCTCGATCGATTCCTCTTTCCTCTCTTCATTTTTTTCCTTCTCGTCGACGATCATCCCCTCGACCATCGCGGATTCCTCGCCTTTGTCGAGCATCGCGATTACCTCTTCCGTCAATTCTTGGTCGGATTGACTCGTTAGATCCCCGTCTGTCTTCCCTTCCGTTGTATCGACTTTTCGCTTGGGTCTGAGATTAATTGTAGTTTGAAATTAATTTCCAATATACAGAGTGTGAGGGTAATCTTTTCCCAAAAAAAGTTCTCGTAGCTTACCTCGAGAGCTTTTTAAAACACTATAATAAAGTAATTTTTTATCGAGAACTCTTCGAGTTATGAGGCTTGAAATCTCTTAATTTTACATAAATCATGAAATTTCTAGTAAAATACTCATTTTTCGATTATCTTACCTTAATATTGTTATGTACAAAATAATAAGAGGAATTAATTGATGTAAAGAAAACACATAATTATTTCGAAAAAAAAATGTAATTGTTAATTGCAAATTATATTTTTTTTCGAAACAATTATGTGTTTTCTTTACACCAATTGATTCCTCTCATTATTTTCTACATAAAAGTATTAAGATAAGATAATCGAAAAATGAATATTTCACTAGATATATATTTTATGGTTTATGTAAAAATTAAGAAATTATTTCAAGCCTCATAACTCGCAAAGTATTCGATGAACAAATACTTTGTTATAGTGTTTTGAAAAGCTCTCGAAGTAAGCTTTTTTGGGAAGAGATTGCCCTGACACCCTGTATATAATTAAAATAATTGTATCTATTTTATTTTAAATATTTTCAGTAGAAAAACTATCATATCGAATTATTATTCCTGTGATTATTTTCAAGGATTTTAAATAAATTTAAATACAATACGCATACGTGAAATTGCTCGGATTATGCGATGGTGTCTCAATCTTCTTGTTCGGTTTCACGTAGACAGAGGCGAGGGTGAGTCTCGTGACGGTTTGAGCGATTCCGGTCGTGAGTTTTGTCGCATCGAATCTCGAATCTTCAATTATAGATTCAATAGATTTAAACATACACAATGCAACGATACCGCGAAATTCAGGATCAGACGTATACATATATATGTAACATATATAAAGTAATAAAACGAAAAATTTGTCTAATAAATATTTCGAATCGTGGCCTTCAAACTGATACATATTATATCTTAAACTTGCAAATAAAACAATTAAAGAGATAAAATATTCCCGCTAAAATCGTGCCAGAGACTTCTGATCCTGAACCATAGAAGATTTGACACAGTTCTGTATATCAGATTTACTCGCAACCTGCTGTGTCGCCTCACTCGTCAATGTATTGCTAGTTTCCGGTCCTTGAGTCGTTGGAACCGACTTCATACGTTGCGACGATAACGGTTGAGATTGCGATTGCGGTACGGTTCCCGTTGCACATTTGCATCTGCGAAAGAGAGAAGGGATCAGGTCTCGCTTCTTCAGGTCGCACGTACAAGTTCCAAGAAGTGCAAATTACCCGGGACAGCACGGCATGCTGGCCCCTCCGCGGATGAATTGCACGATGGCCGGATAGGACCATTGCGGACACTGGAGATATTGTCTGGTAGCTTCCTCGGGTGACACAGCGGTTTGCATGAATTGTTCGCAATATTCGCATTTGGCAAATGTTTGCATCGGCGTCTCTTTCACGACCGTGCTCGGGGTCTGATTTCGTTAAAAAGAAAGAGAGAAAGAACGTGTATATGAAAATTTTGTAGATAATTCAAGAGCTAATAGCTACGTAAATTAATTTTATATCTTGATAGAGAAAAATAAAAAAATATCAATATGAAATATTAATACAGGATGGGAGTTTAATTAGAGATTTATTTTAAAATATTTTTATTCATAAATTAATCAATTTTTCGTAAAGATGATTTTGAAGAACAAATTTTAATAATAGAGAAAAGTGGAAAAAGTAGATAAAATATTGATAGAATTGTTAAATTATTTAATGAATATTCATATAAGTTAAAAATAATTTATTAAAAATTGGTTTGTTAAAATGAAATATAATTGTTTTCATAAAATATATATTTATAAATAAATAAATTTATATTACTTTTTTTTTAAATAGTGAATAAAAATATATTAAATGAAAATAGTGATAAAAAATCAAGTTAATTTAAATTGTTCATTAGAAATTAATCTGAAGAAATAGAGGGAAATAATAAACCTAATTATTATTAAAAATAAAAAAATTGATAAAATAAAATTAGATTTTCATAATGATATATTTAAACAAATTATTGATCTATAGATTAAAGGAATAATTATAATTATAATTGGGTGATTTGTTAAACTTAAAAATAAAATTACAAAAAAATAGAATAAAGAAATAATTAAGATAAATTAAATTTTTGGTCATATATTTTAGTTATAAAATAAAAAATAATGTAAGAATATCAATCAATATTTTTAAAGACAAAATTAATCAATTAATTATTTAAGGAGCGCACAAAAATCAAAATAATGTCAATTTGATTTTTAAATTTGATCAATATGATATCAAATTGATATTATTTTGATTTCTTACATAATTAATGACAATTAAAAACATCGATCTGATTTAAAAATGTTTTTTCTCTCTATCAAGATATCAAAGGAGATTTGTTTGGTAAAGATAAAAAAAAAATTCTTGCGAAGGAGACTTATCAATGATCACGAATCGTTCACCTGACTCTCCACGACCGACGTCTCGCGTGGTTCCGTCTGGATTTGGGCGATACTGAAATTGTATAACGAGGGGACGCAGGTAGGAGAATCGACGTACTCTCGTCGTCGAGCGTATTCGACTTTACGATAAGAGTGATCGGGCGTCACGATGGTCTTTAATTCGTCCGGCACCCTGACGTCGCTGAGACTGGTCGTTACGTCGTGCTTCATTATCTGCACGCGCTCAAGAGACGTTAATTAGAATGGCTGATTAATGCCGTGGCTAATTTACACCGTGGCAAAATTGAGGTAATTTAGTTTTATGCTTTACTGCGTAAGATATTAGGAAAAATTCTCTTTCTGCGAGTGCTCACTTTGGCTTCTTCCTTCTCGAGTGGGAGCGGTTCCTCGTCTTTACGCGGCAAATATTCCGCTCCTTCGTAATAACAACATCGTTTGCAGATGGAGCATTTTCTCTTCCAGAACCTACAAGCGAATGGAAAACGTAAACGAATCGTTCGCGTCTCTCCGAGATTCGAGGATTAACGGACAATCGCGAGACTCACGCGAGGACCATCGTGATGTCGAGTAAGAAAAATAGCGTCGCCAATAGACACAGTACCATTACCGTTATTTGCACGGCGAGTTGCGTGTAGCCGTAAACAATTAACAAGATCCCGGCAGTGCCAAAAAACGTGAGGCCGATTAAGGAGAATACGCACATCTGCATAAATAATTTAATTTAATTTTTATGGGGAAAATATAATTTCCCATGCAAAATATATATAAAATTTTATTTTTATAAAATTTATTTCTCTAAATTTCTAATTTTCGCTTATTCTGTTTCGATGAAAATTATAATCACTTGACAATTTTATTTAATTTATCATTTAATTTTTCATTTTTGTAATTTCTTTTTTAAGATATCCTTTAAGAATTAAAATAATATATGTTATTTTTTTTACTTTGTTGATAAATGGCTTTTTTCGATGGACGTCTCGAAAAAGATAAATTACAAGGAAAAGTTGAATAAAATTTCCAATTTTCATCGGAATAAAATGAGCGAAAATTGGAGATTTAAACGCTTGGCGTGTAAATTACCGGAATAACGTGCAAGGCATTGCCGGCAAAATGGCTGATTAAGTCGACAGCCAGGATGAAGACGTAGACACCCGATATGACAATCAAGAGGACGCAGGCCAGAGTACTTATCGGCGTAGGATCCATAACAATCATATAAATCGTGAACGTGAAGAGCAGTAACACTGCAAACTATCTCCGAGGAAAAGGAAATTTTAATTGAAATTTTAATTGAACGCGACACGAGATCGATCCGTGTTAATTTTAATTTTAATATTTTTTCTTATTAGCGATGAAGATTTAAAAGAAGATTTAAAATATTAGAGATTTATAGAAGATTTAAAATATTAGATACGCACAAATTGAAATATCCTCAGCGGTTTAATCATGATCGATACACATCTGCTTATCCTGTGTTGCGGCTTTTGCCGAGGAAAATGCAGTTTTAGCTTAGCCAGTTTGCTCTTTTCATCTCTACTTTCCGCCATTATTGCTATTTCATGTAAATATTGACGTAATATATAATGTAAAAACGCTACGCAAAGAAAACTTTATTTAAAACAATTTTTGACAGTTACAGTACGACATGTCGTGTATTTTTGTTTCTATGATCGAGATCGTGTCATAAAATGACCAACTTCGTGCATTTTTATTTCTTTTTTTTTTTCATTTTTATTTGCGAATTTGACCTAAGGAAAACAGATGGAGATGAGAGAGAGAAAGTGTAAGATATAAAATGGACGAGAAGAGATATTTTTTTATTTCGCTTAAAAGAGAGAATAGCTTCTTAGATTTGCTTATTAAATACTTTGTAGAAATAAATGCTCTATGAATACAAAACTTACTGGACGGATTCATACGCGAATAAATACTTTGCTCGAATGATGGTAATTTTTTTCAAATTGCGATTACGTTGCAATCGTTGCAATTTCGCGTTTTGCCTTACATAACTATAACGCTACGAATCTATTATATTATCGCTAATTTTTCTATGTTAATACACGATATACACGATGTGCACGATGTTGCTTATATACTATACTATGGTGATAATATATAATACTACTACGTTTCTAACATACAATGTGTTGTCGATTGGTTTTTACAAAGTTAATATTTTAAAAAAATTTTTTCTTCGAAGCAGATAATATTCATCAAAATTATGGCAATATGCAATGTTTTTTGTTTAAAATTTTTTGTTTTAAATAAATCTCTTTTTATAAAGAGATTTTTAAATTTAAAATTTTTTTAAATTTTCTGTTTTAAATAAACCTCTTTTTATAAAGAAGGACTTTTTTAATGCAATATTAGACCTATATCGATAGACATTTCTTGTGAGATAAATTTCGAAAAATTTAAGTTAATTATAATGAACTTTAAAGAGAAATTAAAAATTTGTTGTTTCTTTCGAAGCGAATTACTCGTAACTTTGACGAGAGTCCTCCAACTTCTTTGGAGATTGTCAGGTCTTTTATGCAAACGATGTGATGTTCACGAGCATTTTATTATGGCGATAATCTCCGCGAGGAATACTGCTGCGTTTACGAACGTAAATACGGCTGCGGATATAAGCATGTCCATGTATTGCTTGCTGGGATGGACCTCGTTGTTGTACACATAATAATAAGGACCGTTCATTTTACGCCAATTGTGGATCATGAGACTTCCGGCTACCACGTGCATAAGCGCGCCCACAGACGCGAACATTATCAACTGTAACAATCAATTAATCATCGATTAAATTCGCGGCTCTCGATTCGTTACGTGATAAGAATCATGCAATAATCGCCGACTATTTTTAATTTTTAATCGCTGAACGGAAATGAATGAATACACGCGATGTATCATTCGTTACTATGGCTTTTGGTGAAACGTCAACAATTCAATTCACTATATATTACAATTTCCTTCAGGGAAGAGTCAATATTAAATTTTAAATTTTACATGAGAAATTAACGGCAAGCTCGACGTTATTGGATTAATTCGAGATGAAATTATACCGCGTGTGAAAAAAGCGACTTATTATTTATCGCCATGTTTGCAGTCGAAGTATATTTTCTCTCAAGGTTACTTGTCAAGATCTTGCATGATATCGTATCATCAATCATGCGTCATATAATAAAATATGTCTAGCAAAATTTGCACAGTTGAAAAGTTCCTATTCGCATGATTCATGAGTTGATATTCGCTCCAATAAGTTCGAACGCGCGTTCCATCCGCGATAAACACCGCGCGATATTCAGTCGGAGACACATTCCTAAGTTTATTATGTATAAGACGACATCGAGAAATGTAGCGAGCATCGCTATATAACGAGGCCTTGATGCATCCGCTAATTAACGCATACGTCGTCGCTGCGTTCATAATGACTCAGCTGTACAAATGAACTAGGCGTATCTAGTTGCGACTAGCGTCGTCTTTATCATGAGGATAAATAACAACAAGGACAGCGTATATATTGACTATTAATTCCTATTGAATATTTCATGAAAATGGACAAAAGTGACTTGTTGCAAAAACAATCTACGCGCTACGATATTTCTAATTTTTTAAATCATGTTTTAGAGAAATAAATTTCTTTCTGTCAAAATTGATTCCCGTAAAAATTTCTTTTTATTGAAAAGAGAAAAATATTTAATATATTAATTATAAAAATATTTAATATTAAATATTTAATATTAATTATTTAATATATTAATTATAAACTTTAACTACAGATTCCATGATTTCGAATTGATTTCTTTTTTCCTTATCAAAAATGTTAGAAGCATTAATAAAGATTGTAAAGATTATGCCCTTGGAGTCATGGTATAATCTTTTGTCTTATACCCTGCACAAGTAAAAGTATATAAAATGCAAGCGCATATTTGTCTTCTTTTTAAAGAAATTAAAAATAGAAAATGTGTCGCAAAGAGAGAGAAACTTTAGACTAATTTTCATTGAAATTTTAGCGTGATTCACGATATATCGCAGAGACATTACCGTTCTTTTTGGCACGCGATCGCCGAGCATGTGGCTGAGGATGAAGAGCGCATTGATGAGGATATAGCCGGCGACCGTAACGTAAATAGTGGCGGCGTCATCCAGCTTGAATCGCGCCCTATTGAAGGTTTTCTGAAACGAGTTCATTGGATCGACCACCAGACCGACCGCGAAAATGGCCAAAATCTGCATCGAATGAAGAGCGTTACGTAAAATGTTTATGTACACATTGTATATATGTCACGAAGCGAAATATTTGCATTGCAAACTGAGAGGACGTCCGAGAGGCTTGATTAATTTCTACAGAAAATTTCTACTCGCTATCTCTGTTCGATGAATTAAAGATACTCGCCAGTTCGATTACTTTGATGACGATCGGTAGGTGACTCAAGAATTTGTTTTTGGGAGCCGTCCGTTGAACCGTGTTCTGATCCTCGTCCGCCATTCTCACTCTTCGATGCTTTCCCCTTCTGTCGCCCAGTTTGAAGAATTTTCAATATGATCCCTGATGACGATCGATTCTTTCTTTCTGTTTCGTGTAATCCCCTTGCAGTCTCTTGGCGACCCTAAAACGAGAAACGCGATAGACATCGCGTAGGGGAGACGCATGAAAAAAACGAAGGGTTGAACATGAGGAAAGCTTGACTCACGTGGCGCCAGTAAAAGACTGTGAAACGAAATTATTGGAGCGGTGAAATATTAGAAATTTTTTTCAATTTTTTTGTTTTGACTCGACCTTTCCTTGCCACAAGTATAATATCACGATACGTATCGTTCACCCGTAAAATCTATTACAAAAGAGAACATCAATTTACAATTTTCAATGTACAATTTTTTCTCTCAAGTGAAACATAAAAATTGAAAACACGAAATATTTGGGGTGTCTATGCAGGGTGTTTATACAGGGTGTCCTAGACTTAACGAATCAGCCGTTAATGGTAGATTCCTGAGATCATTTGGAAACGAAAATCTTAATAAATCAAAATGTTAAGAAAGGTGTAGTTTCGACACTACAAAAAATTAAAGATTACCAATCGGAACATTACGTTCTAGCTCAGGGACATATAAAAAATAGGATTCTGTAGTGATCGCGATTGCGTTTTCCATACGACAGTTTTATGAAACCTTTCTCAACATTTTGGTATCAGAATTTTCGTCTCCAAATGATCTCAGGAATCTACCATTAACGGCTGATTCATTACGTCTGGGACACCCTGTATATCCAAAGAATAAATCTCGCTATGTCTCTCTGGAGTCGTAATTTTCTCTCAAGAATGTGTACGCAGTTATGTCACAAGAGCGAGTCGCTGTGACTGAAACTCGTTATACCTAAACAAGCCTCAAGTAGTACGCCGACTAGCAAATACTCCGTCCATTGAGTCACCTGACGCGCGTTCTCGTCCACGTGTGTTACACCCGCGTCGCGAGCGAGGACAACAGGCTTGGAACGCAGCCGCTCCTCGAAGAGCTCGGGAATTATTCCGCCTATTTTATTTCCACCTCGGAAGAAAGTGGAACAGGGTTCACGGGTACTTTCCCTCCGCTTGTTTTTCCGAACACGACGCGCGAGTTGACGCAACGAGTCGCACGTCCCGAGAGGCCACCGTTGCACGCACCGCACGATGCAGCGGCGGAGCTCCAACTGAAACGCAGAAACGTACGTACGGTATACGTACGGCAAACACTTACGAGCTTTACGATTCTCGCGCAAGCGAAGTACGGACTTGGGTGTCCCGCGCGCGCGAGTCGGCCTAGCCAAGGTATCGAAGATGGGAGGAATCGATGCCTCGATACTAGGCAAAGCGATGCCTCGGCTTTCGTAATCCGAGGCTTTCACTCGTTTAGCGGCTCTACGGGACTTTCATCAAAAATATCAATCCGATATGATAGTCGATGATCGCAGGAGGCATATCTTGGTCATGTATTTTTTTTCTCTTCAGTTCGTTAAATATCGGTTATCAAACTTGATAGAGATGGGAGGGGATTAAACGATGTCACGACTTCGACGAGAGGTTGCCCGACAAGGAACGTATATCGAGGTCGGGCTCTTTCACGCACGATAGCGTTTGACATCGCCAGATTTCCGGTCGCGTTTTTGTCTGCTCTGTATCGCCAACGTGTCACGGACACGCGCGAAGTGTCCGTGTTATGTTGCGTGCACGCCCTATTGCGTCATCGATTAAATGACACATGTAATAATGCTGCATTACAAGCGTCGAAGAAACTCTTGCAGCTTCCTGCAACAGGTTGACTTACTCGAGAGAAAAGAAAATTTATGGTCTTTTCATCTTCAACTTCATCTTTAATATATATACTTGTATATTTAATTTATAAATAAAAAATAAATTAATATATTTAGTTTATTAAAGAAAAAAAAACGAAGAGGAATGCGATACAAAATAATCTCTCTAATCTACTAATATATTAAATAAATTAATATTAAATATATTAAATAAATTATTATTAAATATATTAAATAAATTATTATTAAATATATTAAATAAATTAATATTAAATATATTAAATAAATTAATATATTTAATTTATTTAAAAAAACGAAGAGAAATGCGATAGAAAATAATCTCTCTAATCTGGAGGGCTTCCGCATTTTTTCAATAATTCAGTTTAGTTTTACGGAATTTTATTTGTCGCTCGATTGATTATATTTGCGTTATTTTCAAGGTGTCATTGCACACGCAAGCATGCGTGAGCAGTATAAAATTTACAATATGAATTTCCGTGGGAGCGACTTCCTTCTCGCTTGGAACGACACGCTCGATCCTATTTCACGGCGTTATTTTGACGTCGCGGTATGGTGCAAGGACACGTCGTGATTCCGCGGATTATGTACCTGCCGTGTGTATTGAAAAGGCCGGCTATAGTATTACACGTAAATGCGCGCGCGTTTATTACGCTTCGCGTAATTATGGCAACGCAATTATTCTTAACTCGCAATTAGTAAACACACGATTCGCTGGACTTTAAATGCTCTAACTCGGAATACGATAAGTGTTACCTCCTGGTTGTAAAACAGTTGTAGATTAGGTCGCACGGTGCTCCGATTATCGCACCACTGCGTCTTAACATATTTGTGGCAAGAGAAGAGAAAATGTTGTTTAATATTATATAATATTAATATTAATATTAATATAATATTAATATTAATATTATAATTATTTGATATTTTATTTTTAAATAATTCAAATATTATATATTTTTTAATTAATATGATTATTTTATATAACTAATATAATAATATATTATTATACATATATTATGTTTGCGTTAATATAATTATTTTATTATATAATTAATGATAATATTTATGATTAAAATTATTATTAATATTATATTAATAATAATATTTATGATTAATATTATTATTATATTATATATTATTATTTTTATTATTATTTTTTTTACATGATTTACTAGTTCGAATAATTCAGAAATGGCCAAGATTTATAAAACATTGCACTACTGTATTTTATTAACACACAACAGTTTATTAAAAATTAATTTGTTTAAAAGATTATTTATTTATTTATCATCGAAGATGTAACTTTAAAGTAAGTAATTAATAATGAAATTAAATTAAATTATATACGCGCGTTTGCAAGTTACATAGATACCTAATGAATTTTCTGTCCCGTCTGATGCGCAAAAAGAATTGACTACGCATAAAGCATGCGACTTTACATCACTTGTGCAGTTTCTAGGTTGTACTTGTAGTTATACTTAACCAACATTGCCGGAAACGAATCGTCATATCGATCTGCACGTTATATGACGACGAGTTCGCAATCTTTCACTTTTCATATCGCGATTACTCAGTATCTATGTCAACTTCCTCGTCCTCGATGAAACATTTATGTAGCTTACATGATAATTATTTTTCGTCTCGGTCATACAAATGCAGTTTCCCTGCAAATAATAAAAATAATGTTATATTTTTATGATTTTTATTCATTTCTTGGACATTTCGAGCTCTAATTATTTTTAATAATTTTAATATATACTTTTCTTTCTAAAATACATTTAATATTATATTTTCATTATTAATGTAATTATTTAATATTTTATTATATAATATTATTATTAATATACTTCATTACATGACTTATTATTTAAGCTCGAATAATCCAAAAATAGTTAAGATTTATAAAATTGCATTGCTGTATATTTTATTTACATCACTATAACATCTTATTAAAAATTGTATTGTTTATCTATCGAAGATGTTATCATCGAAAATGTACTTTAAAATAAGTAATTAATATGAAATTAAATTAGATTAGATGCGCAAAAAAATTGATTACACAGAAAGCATTTTTCGGAGAATAAAATGGGAGGAAAAGATGCTCTTGTCTAAGACTGTAAATGGTTTTAACCGAGTTTCTTTCTCTCTTCATACAAGTACTTATATTCATGCGTAAATAATATACTTGTCCTATTATATGCCAGCTTTATAACTTAGTAAAATTAGGCGTGACCTCCGCGATTAACGTCATTATGCGGTCGATTCGTGGGTGGGTGTACAATCGTGTCGGTCATCCGCGACGATCGCCGGGTCAAATAGATTAATTGCAGTGGATGCACGGGATCTTGGTAGGGCTTATGATGAAATCATCCGGTACAACGTCGTGGAGCAATCGACGTTTATTTTCGAGAAGGGCGCCGGTCGCATGTTTTTAACCGCGCTTTCTACATTTTCTCCTTCGAGTGTTCGGTTAAACAAAAGGGGTCATGCGCATAATTATCGCCCGATACGTATTATCGGTCGTTAGGTGCCCGCGAGAAGGTGCCAGACGCGAAGAAACGAATTTTCACAGCGGCAAATGCGAGTTAGAAACTCAAGAACATTGATTTGCTTTAAAACTAATCGAACGATACGTAAGACGGATGAATAATAAAAATGGATTGATTCTTTTATATATATAAGAAATATATTTTTTATATATAAATCAGTTTTGTATCAGTTATATAAACTCTTCGTGAAAACGTTTTTTGGGCGCGTTGCATGCATTTTTAATGGAGAGATATCGATATGAATAAGTATATACATGTATAAAAATGTAATGAGGAGAAAGATTCCTCCTTTTTTTAATTTTCAAAAAAGAATAAAATTATTTGCATTATTTAGAAGAAGAAACTGTTCGAATTGAAATATGATTAACAATATATTCGGAAATATAGAAATAATTAATGATGATAATTTAATACTGTAAGCTTTTGCGACATTCGTTAACTTTAACAAGATTAATTTTGATGGAATGAAACGGAAAGAAATGATATTAAATATCGTCCTTAACAACAACCTTATTTTATAATATTTTTTTTTCTTATACTATTGGAATTCATCTTTAGCGTAATGAAGAAAACTTAAAATAAGATCCACCAGGTAGGTTGCGCCTTCTATAACGCATAATGCGCCCACGGCCAAGCCAATCTGAAATCATTGAATTTTCTCAGTTTAATATTTCGGGAGATTCTGGATATGATTAAAATTTTAATTGAAAAAAAAATATATATAGCTTGTATAATTTTATGATTTTTACTTGTGTGTTCAAAAATAATTCCTTTAGCATGTAATTGGGAATAAAAATTTATATTTCTATCTTTCAATTTTTCAAAATTTTTTTATGATTTTAATTTGCAAATTCGGTTTACCTGTCTCTCTGGCGCATCGTATATGAATTTTTGTTCAGGCTGATAACCGTGCCAATAATGCAAGGCTGTTCCACCAACAGCTATAAACATGAAGGTTCCGACGAAATTCATGATGATTTCCTGTAAAAAAGATCGATTAAATTATTTCAAGATTGTCAGATTATTAATCCATTAGTGTGTGTAACTTTGTGATCTAATCTCTTATCTCTTCGAACAGATGAAATAAAAATATGTTTTATTTATCAAAAGAAATCTAAATGAGGAGAACATGTCACTTCTGATATATTCTATATATTAGATATTTTATTTCTCTTGTGAAAAATATCACAGCTTTTTACTGTAATTTTAATATAACTCTTTAATTGAAATATATATATAGTCTCTCTCTCTCTCTCTCTCTCTCTCGACATAGAATTACTTACAACAAGAGTCTTTTTGTGCTCGGTATTTCCGAAACAGTAGCTGACGAGCACGACACTCGTGTAGATGAAGAAACCGACCAAGACGCCGGAAGCGACAATCTCGGCATCCGGATTCTTGTCCTCGTTCAAATTCCAAGTTCCACCTACACCTAAAAATTCGCCGCCATATCCTGTACGATACAGGATCAAAATGATGAGATTGATAACCTGAAAATTGAAATCACGAAAATATATTTTTCGCAAAGAATGTCATGAGAAACTTATGGAATATATTTATCTGATTTGGAATAAATTTTTTAAAATTATATAAAATATATAATATCTGTTTTTAAATATTAAATAAGAAAATTAAGCTCGAACGAATAAATATATAAAATAAAAATTTATTCTGTGCTTAAATTTTAAATTATGTTAATAAAACTTTTATTGTGTAAAAAAATAATTAAGTTCGAAAATTTAAAATTTAGATTATCGAAAAAAAATGTGATAGTTTTATTATCATTATAAAAGTTTTTTTTCGAACACTTCGTAGTTTCATGCATTAAAAATGACGGCAGCGTGGTGTATATCGCTTACTAAACAACGTTCGTTATCGCGACCGATAAGGGCAGTCGAAATGAATCATATACGTCTTAAAAGAATGTCCCTTAAATGACTATATTTATAATGACTTTCCAGCTCATGTTTTTTCACGATTGAAATCATCGACCGCAAAGCCGCGTTCATTGAAAAATTTGCAATGCACGATATGAGTCAGATCAAGCGAGAAACGAGATTTTTCACATCGTAGTTTACATTGTTAAGATGATTACATTCTTTGAAACATATTATTCAATTCAATTGTACAATATATATCTTCTAAAAAAATGTACCGACTTGATCAATTTGGAATCAATTTCTTTTTATTGTGAGATATTTAATTAGATATCTTGTAATTTTTTGACATTCAATATTAAACAATTTCGTAATCAAATTAAAATTCTAATAGAATAATAGTCATTCAAAATCAATTAAATAAGAAGTAGATGTTTAGAGAAATTCCTGAATTTTTAATCACATTGATAAAAAAAATATATAATTTTCAGATGCTTTGCGAAACTCTCACAGATATACACTTTTCAGCCAAAATATTCTGTGTTCTCACCAATTTGAGCACTTTGATCACTATACTCGCAATAGTCTGCAGGGACACCATCTTTGCAGACACTTCTCGACACCTCTCACCGTGAAAATAAACGAACAAATTGAAATCCGCGTGAAATGTGCTTTCGAGCGCTTCCTGAAGCGAAGAACCAAGCCCTCTTTATCTAATCAGATGATGCACAGAGTACGTTGAAATGAGGATAAGAATCAGAGAGGATCGACGCACATGCGCGATCTCTTATCATACGCGAGTGATAATTTTAAATCAGTTACATCGAGATTTTCTTCATTTTTACAACTAAAAGAGCGGCGCAAGACCTGTAGACATGGTACTGATCAGAAGTACTTATCAGCAACGACGATTTTTCAGGAGCTCGGCCTGGCCATCAAGCCGCAGCAGATCGCCGAAATGGAGTCACACGTGAACGACATCGATTTTGAAGCCGTCGCCAAAGAGGAAAGGGCGACGAGGCACGATGTGATGGCGCATGTTCACGTTTTTAGCGAACAGTGTCCACTGGCTGCACCCATCATCCACCTGGGCGCGACCAGCTGTTACGTTGGTGACAATACGGTACGTTTCATTAATATTAAACACTAAGTACGAAGTATATTACCCATAATTAGAAGTATCATCATGAAGATATATCTATAAAAAATCACATCTCCCGATTTTTATTATAATTTAAGATGTTTAATTTCTTTTTTAAGCTTTTCTCAAGAATTTTAATCGCACTGTTACATCGTAATTGAATATTATATATTTTTTTTATTTTTTATTTCAAGAGTAACAAAGATTTATGCACACTAATTAACTAATTAATTAGTTAATATTATTTTCTTACGAAGGACCTCTTAATCTTGCGCCAAGGCTTCGACATATTGCTGCCGAAACTGGGCAGCGTAATTCGGCACCTCGCAAAATTCGCTCTCGAGAATCGCAGCTTGCCAACTTTGGGCTTCACTCATCTTCAACCAGCGCAACTGACGACAGTCGGCAAAAGAGCAACGCTATGGTTGCAAGACTTGTTGATGGACGAAAGGGCCATTCGTCGCGCCAGAAACGATCTCAGATTCCGTGGAGTCAAGGGCACTACTGGCACCCAAGCGTCTTTCCTTCAGCTATTCAACGGTTGGTTCGCGCGAATTTAATTTTTTTCTAACATTTTAATACGCGAATTTGTTTTATTTTGTCAAGAAAAAAATAGATTACTATTCTCAAGTAAAAATTTGTTATCTAAATATGAATTAACTTTTTCTAATAATAGAAACTGATAGAATTTTTATTATTCAAGTTCCTTAAGAAAAATTGAAATTAAGTTGGAAACTAAGCATTGAAAGATTCTTCATAATTTTCAGATCGTTGGAAATAACTGCTAAAAAATAATTAATGTTAATAGGTGATGCGGAGAAGGTGAGGCGATTAGATGATCTTGTCACTAAGATGGCTGGCTTCGAAAAGCATTATGCTGTTACCGGACAGACTTACAGTAGAAAAGTCGATATAGAATGCTTGAACGCCTTGAGTTCACTCGGCGCGACCGTCCACAAGGTGAGCGAAATTAATTTTTGCTTTGCACACACCAGCTGTTAAAACAGCTTAACTGTCGGGGAATGGAATATCCATTTTTCTCTCTTGTTAAAAATTATTCATCTCGAACTAATAATTTTCTTTTTAATATTCTTTAGATTTGCACGGACATTCGTCTTCTCGCGAACATGAAGGAAATCGAAGAGCCCTTCGAAAGTACGCAGATAGGCTCGAGCGCGATGCCGTACAAACGCAATCCAATGCGCTCCGAGAGATGCTGCAGCGTGGCACGTCACCTGATGACGCTGGTCAACAACGTCCTCAATACTGCGGCGACCCAGTGGATGGAACGAACGTTGGACGACTCAGCGAATCGTCGGATCACCTTGTCGGAGGCTTTCCTCTCGGCCGATACAATCCTGATGACTCTTCAAAATATTACGCAAGGATTGATCGTTTACCCCAAAGTCATCGCCAGACATGTGGCGCAAGAGTTACCCTTCATGTCCACTGAGAATGTGATAATGGCCATGGTGAAAGCTGGCGGCGACAGGCAGGTATGACACTCTCTTTTTCTTATAATGTTTATGTGTAAAAATTTTAGGACAATTTGCGCAATCATATTTTCTTAAACAGATTATCAAAATATTAATAAGTATTATTAATTAAATTTTCAAATGCGAAATCTCAAGTTTTAATTAACTTTGATTTTAATTTTTCAAATTTTATTCGACAAATTTCTATAATGTTATTTTTCATAATATTAATAATTTGAATTATTTTATGCATTTCTGTCGTAGGTCTGTCATGAAAAAATTCGCGTGTTATCGCACGAAGCCGGAGCCCAAGTGAAGCAACATGGCTTGGATAACGATCTGGTTGATAGGATCAGAAAAGATTCATATTTTGCGCCAATCTTACCTCAACTGGATGATTTGCTCAACCCAGCGACTTTCGTCGGTAGGGCGCCTGAGCAAGTCGTCGAGTTCCTCGAAGAAGAAGTGTATCCTATGCTCGAGAATTATAAGGAAATAGAAAGCGAGACTGTCGAACTCAGTATTTGAATCCTTGAAGATAAATATTTGAATATTTGAATCCTTGAAGAAGAAATTTAATAGTTTTGTAGAAATCTCTTCAAGAGTATCTTCCAAAGAAACTTTTATACGATGTTATCAAATTATTATTTAGAATAGAGAGTACAGTTGGAATATTTTTTATAATGAAAAATTATAAAAAATTATGCGCATAAAGACACATTTTATTCATTGTTAACATTTCTTACATTGATAAAATAACTTGTAAAAAAATAAATCGCACTGTTCGCCGTAGATGCGCGCACGCGTTCTCTATTGTCGTCTGTAATATTCCCTCTTTTCTTATCTTAAAATCTTTTTTTTTTTTATTTTTTTTTGTCAATTTTATAATTTTTCTCTCCGTAACTACTGCAATAGCAAACGCTTGCGACATTTATTATAGTAGAAACAGAGTGAAAACGATAGAAAGGATAGAAAAAGATTGATAGACAAGATAGGTAGACAAATAGATAGATAGACAAAGATAATAAAAGAAACAGACATGTAGAAATTAAGTCGGAAATAGAAAATGAAATCGAAATTGAAAAAGAAAAAGATTATCTCATATTTATAAGAAAAAAAATAAAAGAAGTTTGATAAAAAACTGTAGTAATAATAAAGTTTATAAAAGAATAGATTGAAAGGAGATAGAGAAATAAGAATAGTAAGTTTAAAAAGCAGAAAGCAACAAAAGAATAAAAATACTACTTTCAATACTAGAATATTTTTAAAGATAAGTATTCTAAAAGAGACCACAAAAGAAATAGATAAAAAGAAAATATGAAATAACGAGATATAAAATTTGTAACAAGCAACAGAGATAAGAGAAGAGCTGAGAGAAGAACAATTTCAAAAGAAGACAGAAACATTGAAAAAGGATGAAGACTAGAAGAAGTATTAGAGATATAAATAATCAAAGAAAATACAAAAAGATGAATGCAGTATAAGTTGAACGGAGAAAGTTGATCTGCAATCCCGTTAATTTACAAGAACGAGAAAAATAGGCTGAGAAAAACCAATTGAGGAGAAAGTTAATATGAAGAAAATATTAGAAAGAAAAGCAAAACGAGAAAAGTGATAGAAAAAACTGGAAAAAGTCTGTGTTCACAAAATAGTTAGAAATTTATATTTAAATTTACTTTTGAATTAGAAGTTATTAGATCAATGAAATTTTAGTCGAGTGGTCGAGAGCGGAGAGAAATAATTATCATGAAATATTAAATTCACACACATCGAAATTTTAGAATTATATATTACAAACTCTATTTCGGCACACAAGAAAGCCTTTTAAGTGAAATAACGTTGATATTCATAACTTGGATTTTACAAAAGCGTTTTAATATTTTTCCCTTTCAAATGCTTTTTTAATATGTATATTGATGACGATTTTAGAAACTTATTAATTCAAGAGAATGACATTATCCCTAATATTGTTAATCACATACATATCTTACTTTTTCAATCTTTAATACTTAATCAAAACTTGTTTCTTTATATTTAAAAGATTTGTATTTATTTGAAAAATTATTGATTCATAAGATGATTTACCTGTAAAATTCTTTACTGAACTGATTACGTACATAATGTAATAATTTTTAAATTGAAAATGTGATTCGAAACTGAGATTTAATCAAATATTTCCATATTGATATATCACGGATTTTCTGTTGTAATTATTTTTGTACTTTATAATTTCATTTTTTTAAATAACAATGATCAATCTGATGTCAATGAAGGTTTTAACGATTCAGCTTATCTTTTGTAAACGCGATGGCCCGTAAAGGTAGCCCCGTCGGTGATCTTTCCGGATTCAACGAAGACAGCCAGCTGATCACCAGCTTCGACGTCCAGTAGGACAAGATTGCTTCCTCCGCCTGTACCAACGCTGACAATTGGTCTCCAACTGTCAGACTTGTTCAATTTGCGTTTCAACGTTAACCGTAGGTCCGGGCTACCATACCCGGCGAAACTGAATTGGTAGAGGCCTGGACAATGCGTAGTGAAGATGCCTGTCTCCGCCGCGTAACCGACTCCTTTGTCCACCAGTGTCTCGGAGAGAACGAGTTTAGCTTCCTGTTACATTTACATATAAATGCAATAATGATAAAATTTTATATTGCATTCTCAGTGATCAAGAGAACACCAGCTTGTTCCCTTTGTTGTTAATGATTGATATGTATTTGGTTCCTTAAAATAGTTTAAGTAATCTAACTTGGAGACTTTTATTCTTTCGTGTTATGACTATTTAAATTTCAACTTATTAATCACGATGACTTACATTTACCGAGCCTTGAGTAGCAGAGAAGGCGACAACCCCGGCGCAGTCGGCGGCAGTCGCCAATTTCTTGGAGCCTATCGTAGTGATACCAGGATTTTCTGGTGGATCTGGTACCGCTGCATCAGTCAACGCGACCGCTACCAATATCAACACCGCCCACACCACCCTATTCAAATACAAATGAGTAAGTATATATTTGTCTGCATCTCTGAATATAATGAAAATTTATTTTCAAAGATTCTACTTAAAAGATTCTTTAAAAAGGTTGACATTCTGAGGTTTATTTTTTATTAATTTATTCTATAAAAATGTCTCATTTTTTTATGTAATAATTTTGCCAGGTTTCAACAATATAAGTTCCTTGATAATTAAACCGTAAATTAAATAAAATAAAGAATAGAAGGTGATTTGATTTTAACGAATCTTATAAAAAAATTATCGTGCCAAAAAAATTATCATTTATAACAAATATATCACAATTAATTTAACTTTGTATACAGAATTCTGATTCATGAGAAAATATCGATTTTAATGTGAGAAAAATTGAGTGCTGCGCTTCGAAATTATGCGAAATAGCTTGAAATAAACATGACACGAGATGTCTACGCGCAACTGACAGGCGATAACACGTGGTTGCGTAACGCGTCACGTGGACGTAAAGAAAATTTTTACGCTCATATCCTCGCCTCTTTTTGCTCGCCTGACGTTTAATTGCCAGTGTGACCATTCCCGGTAAAGTTCCCGGTAAAGTTCAATCGGTTCGAGATACTTTCACTGCTTGCGGCTACTTCTCAACCAAGTATCCAGGTTCGTCCTTTCTGTACGCGCGTTCTTTAGTCTACTCTTTCGCTTCTTGTCTCGTAAAATTGGTTTTTAAATTATCTCTTTATCATTTATTTATTTTTACAAAAATTAAATGTGCAAATTTCGTAATCGTAATTGAATGGTATTAAAGTTTGAAGAGTTTAATGTTCGGATATTGAAGAGTATAATTTGTCCTTAATGAATGGGAAAACTTAACTTTCGCTTTAAAGAAAGTAAGATCCTTTGTGATACGATTGAAGCTCAAATTATTGATTATCGGAGCGAAACGCATCGCGTAGTTACATTTTAAATAAGTATTTATAATATACCAGGGATACTTGGAAGTCTAATAAGTGGATTATTTGCATTTTGATTAATTGATAAGCCGGAACTGCAGTAAAAGCGGTCGCAAGGTCGACGATTATCGCGTTTTTATTATTGCGTTTACGTAACGCGATGAAGAGATCTTTAGCACTTTGCCATGTTATTATTGCGAATCTCAGTCTCATGCAAATTAAATCTACGCCGTTTACAAAATACGAGTCTATTTATCTTCGTTATTAGAATACACACTAGCAATTTTATCTGACTCCATATTTATAATTACAGAGTATTTATCATTACTCAATCTCTTTCTAAATTATTATAAATTGTTTCTAAGTTGTTATAAATTCTAAAACAATCACACAAACAGGAGATATAAGAAGAAGATTGAATTGATTCTTTTGAAACATCTAATTTCTATTTATTATTAGATTGAATTGATTCTTTTGAAACATCTAATTTCTATTTATTATTAGATTGAATTGATTCTTTTGAAACATCTAATTTCTATTTATTATTAGATTGAATTGATTCTTTTGAAACATCTAATTTCTATTTATTATTAGATTCTTATTATTATTTAATATTATTTATTATTTATTATTTATTATTATTATTATTATTATTATTATTTATTATTTTTATTTAAAGAAGAATCAATTTTTTCAATAATTATCTGTACGTGATTGGAAATTTTTGATAACTTTTATTTAATTGCAATTAAATTACAATTAATGCCTGATAAAGCCGACAAATCAAGTGTTAATTAAAATATGATAAGAAACAAGTAAGAAACTTACATGATGGTGAAAAGTGGTGCGGCAGTGACGGGCTTCTCGCTAAATCGAACTGATCCTTTCGTGTTATAGGCAACAAATCGGGCCAAGACAGATCCCGGTTCGCCTTTATATCACCTCCTAGCCCGAACTAACGAGTCGTACGTCGATGCCGGCCTTTTCTTTCGTTTTGCGTCCCGTTCTACTGGCTGCTCTCTTTCCCGCTGATTGGTAATGGTGACCCCTCTCCAATCGTCGATTGGCAAGTCGGCTTGTCAAGTAGTGACAAAAGTAACAATTTCTCGGCGAGAAAGAAAAGTAAACTTTGAAAATAAAGGATCATCTCGCTTCTTCTGATATCAATAGTTTAAATGCAAAGAGACACAAGTTTATAAAGAAAAAACGCTAATCGATCTCTCTTTCCACTTGAGAAAATAATCTTTAATTATCGAGTTGAAAGTCCAAAAATAAAAATGTGCCAATATATAATTTTTTAAAGAAATAATACATGTTTAAAATAATTATCTATGTATGTTATTTTTCTGCAATTTTTGGCTGATAAAATTTTGCTGAAGTTTTTTAATATTTCAACGAATATATGGGAATCAATTAACAAATACATTTGCATCTTGTGTCGTGTAATTTATTGTTTATTAAAATTGTAACAATATTCGATGACATAGTATTTAAAGCGCTGTCAGAATTGCAGGAAAAAAATATATCGACGTTATCGCTAAATTTCTTTCATTAGCGACTAAATAATATGTATAAATAATATTTTTTTACGATAATAGTGATAGAAACGGAAAATTAACATAAATGCATAGCATGAGAATATAATAATAAGTTTATTATTTTTCAGGAATGTCATGGAAAATCATAAACACCGAAAAGGAAAGCGCAAAATTCGGAAACTACATCAATTATGCGTTATGATTATATCATTACGTCATATAGAAGAAGCCGACATGAAATCTACCTGTGGTAAGAAACGCTTGTTATATTTAATAAAAATGTTATAAAAAAGCGCTATTTAAAATTAAACAAAGAGAATAAGTTTTATTTGACGTTCTCAAGATTTTCTCAAGATTTTTAGCGCCTCGATAATTTTGTAAAAGTAACGCTATTATTATTTTCATTCTTATTTTTGAGCAGATGGATATTTTGAACGATTTATTCAATATTTACATATAAATTTAGAATATAAGAATATAAATAATACTACTCGACAGTTTTTAGATCGACGCGGGCACGGACTACTTTCACTTTGACGCTTTCCCGCAGCCTGGATCTCGATCGCCTTGGACTTAGCCTTCCCCTTACGTCTCGACGAGTTTCAACCTTCTCACGAGTCCATTCTCCGATGTTACAAGATTTATTTCAACGAGATATCATCGATACTTCAATGGAAACGTTTGGGAGGAAGGGGAATCTAGGTGTCAAGATGGACTCAAAACAGCCATCAATCTCTTCAAGTACTCAGAGACCAATCCGCGTGAAAGTAAGTCGTTCTATATTTGATGATATTATCGCAACATCTCATTGTTTGTGTAATGACGAATCAATCTCTCGAATTGAATTAACACGAACGATCTGAGAAGTGATTTCTAACATTTTTACAATTAAACTTTCGTCTCTGTATGTTATGTACAAAAGAAAACGATCATCAAATCATAAAGGTATAAAGAAGACGGCGAGATACAAATGTCTAATGACGAATTTACACTAATAGATTGTCGGCTTGGCAAGCTGGACCCTTACTCGGCCAATTGCACGCGCTCGCTTTCGAGTCGAACGTCAAGTGGATCGGACAATTGAAGATGTGAAGCGTGAATTTTTTCTTCCATTGATCCCAATGGCAGGCGTAGAATTTATTGCAGAGACTAGGGTGTCTAAAGAGGCCTGGCCTGGCGCAATCGGTGGCGCCGTTGATTATTTGATCAGGATCTTCCTCTAGATCGTCCTCGGCGATCGAGTTCGGTGATGAATCGACGTCCTTCAATTTCCTGCCAGTTCGAAAACCAAGATTGACTCCGAAAGGTGCGTTACCTGTGAACGATTCGGTACGAAAACCCTTCGGTACGAAATCTCTCGTGCTGACTGTCGTCGAAGCTACAGGTAAGTAAGAGGACGACGGCTGGTTGGTCGACGTTTCATGCGGGCTAATTTTATAGGGTTGCGCCGGAAAACCGTCATAAACCTCTTCTTCAGAAGAGGAAACCTCTTCTGAAGAAGAGCTGTTCTCGAGATCGACGTAGATCTCGGATGAGTCGTAGTTGGCGAGATCCACCTTGCCCTTCGAAGAGGCGATCAACTTCCTCACTGGGCCACGAAGAGTGGCGAAAGGATCAGCTTTGCACGTACACTCCGCTCCAAGCTTGCCTAGAAGAAGCGGATGCAGATCGCTCCACTTCACGATGACCTTGCCCTTGTCTTCGAGAGACTTTGTGGCGACTTCGTACGAAGATGTCGTCGAACCGGGCGACGAGAATTTCTTGGCGGTCGAACCGAATCCTGAGATCGCAGTGGTATCGTATACGTTTGACATATACTTTACAGTGCCTCTGTTGTAGTTTGTAATTAATTTGTCAATCTTGTCTCTCGAAATATCTAGGTTTGTCGGGGAGCCGCTAGACGTTGTTTCTGTGGAAGATGAAAATCCTTGACCGGTGTAATACACGTTGGAAGGCCTGAAGGTAGTAGGCGACGTGATCGAGGAAGGACCTTTGTACGCGAACGATGAAGGTTCTTTGTACGTTATCCCGACGTTATCTGGACGCACAGTCACCTCAGGTACTTCATACCTCGTGGTAGACGCGATTACACCAGGCTTAGTTGAAGCTTTTGCTGGAAGATATTCTTCGGAAACTAGAGAAGAACCATAATCCTTTTTGCTGCTGAAATCAGTCTGTTGGAAAGATGATCCTAAATCGATGTTAGATGTTGATGCAGCTTGCGAACTGCCAGTTTGTTGGACAAATTGACCGGCTAAGAACGGATTGTTCAAAGGAGCTGTTACTGTCCTGTACCCGGTATCGATAATAGGTCTGAAGGTTGACACTGGAACCTTAGCAGCTTCGAAGAGAGTCGTTTTATAAATTTCTGGGCGTTTGGTAGTATAAATTACAGGCGAAACTGTCGATGTTGATAAGCGACGATCGGCCGGCACTGTTGGTATCTTAGATCCAAACGCTACATTGATGCCGCCCGATCCATCGTCTACATTAATACTCGAGAACGGCTTTGGCGACGTAATGGGTAAATTATTTTCAATCGATGACGACGGTGTGAATGTTATACCGCTTGTTCCGAGTTGAACGTTTGGCTTAGGATACGAATAGCCGGAAGTAGCTGACTGTACGCGCTGAGTGATGCGACTCGGCGAGGCTGTTGAAAAATAGCCAGGCGGAGTCGAGGTAACAGATAAGTCAGCAGCATTGCTACTGGATGATATCTTTGTGTACCCAGCTCCCTCGAATGCTTTCTCACTGATATTCTCTGGATAAGCAGGTCGGCGCTCGCTTGTGCTTACTGAGTAGCTACCACCGCCTCCGAGAATCGCAGTAGTTATACCTGTCCTGGTTAAGCCAGTTTTCGTGAATCCACTCGGTGTGAAAACGGCCGATGTAGGCGAGGAATACCCTGGCGCGGCTGTAGTCGAACCTTGTGAAGTAGGACCAAAAATAACATTGCTGATACCTTCTATTCTACCTCCAGGTACGATAGAATCGGGAAGAGTGGCGCTGGTCGGTCTATAATCCGGCACGTCGCTTTCCGAATATTTGCCGGTATCATAAGCAGTGTTGATGCCGCATCCGCCATCAGGTTTGTAGCCCTGAGGACGCGTCGGCGTCAACCCTTCGCCCGGATAACTTGAACATCCTCTTGTTGCGGCACCGCCATGATAAGTTGTTCCTGCTTGCGATACGTAGGATTTAATGGTTGAAGTTTCGATTCCTGGTTGAGCGGCACTTCCTATAGATACTCCAGGAGCGGTTTGTCCAGAAATAACGATACCTGGGGTAATGTCACCTTTCAAATCGACACCGGACGAAGGACCGGGCACCGAAATTGCAGGAGTTGGCGAGCCGTATATTAAAGTTCCCGGACTAGCTGATCCGATATTTGCAGTTTTCAAGTCGTCTGTAATCACGTATCCCGGTTGTGGTGTTGCGGAAGCGATATATCCAGGTTGTACTCCTCCTGTTAAAATAGTGCCTTCATGAATGACAGGAGACGATGTCGCACCGGGAATATTTCCAGGCCTGAAGACAGTTCCTGAAGTCGAATCGGTAAAAATACTTCCTTGGACGCCGCTCCCAGTCACGATCGTACCGCCTTTTGGAATATCGTAAGAGGTAGGAATTTCATTGCCGAAAATGCTGATATTCAAATTAGGTCTCACTAAGTCGGGTTTTGCGTAATCTCTTATTACGCCTGGTATTCCAGTGTGATTTTTTATTTCAGCTCCTGTTGGTCTAATCAAGGGATAGGTCGGTTCTCCATGTAATAAGAATACGGGAACTGTATATCCTTCCTCGCCGTATCTTGTCGGGGAAGCGCCTGCCACTCCAGAAGATGGTACACTACCGCTTCCAAAATATCTGCTATCAGTAATCGTAGCATCAGTATGGCCGGAGGCAGCAGAAATTCCTGAAGTGATGGATTTTGAGGCATCGCTACCGAAATGAGTTGCTGAAGAGGCTCGATCTGAACTCGTCGAACCTTGTAAAATCCCGCTTGTAGCTTTGGAATATCCCGTACCGATCGATCCTTCATATATCTTTGCAGTTGATTGTCCGTCGATAGCTCCAGGATAAGACGATCCAATGCCAAATGCCGAGCCGGTTTTGTCGAACGACGGTTGACGACTGACTCCTGAATAAATGCCGGGAGAAGCTGAATAACCATCGGCATTAAACGCACCGGAGCTTGTGTATAAATTCGTCGAGCCGACATATTTAGGACCGGTGGAATCTACGCCAATATTGACAGGTGATCCGGGCGATTCTGTGGATGCGAAATAGCCTGTTTTCGGATAAGTCACTACTATCGGCTTACTTGCATCAACGCTTCCTGTATATCCGCCCGTTGCAGAGTAACTTGATTCAGGTCTACCTGAATAAATTGCACCTCCTCCTGTCAAATGACTTCCACCAGCGGTTCCGGAATATCCTCCTGCTGTAGATCCGGAGAAACCTGTAGTAACTCTTCTCAATGGTGCAGTATATCCACCAGAGTATCCGCCATCAATTCTGGATCCAGTGGATCCAGTGCTGCTAATTTTGCTACCCGACGCGGAATATCCCGTGCTACTTTTTCCCGCAGGAGATATCGAATCGAAATATATACTAGACGGTCCAGTATAGGTCGGAATAGAGGATACTGTGCCTCCGTATCCAGGTTTAGAATAATCGACATCAATTGAACCAGACGATCCCGTCGAGCCGACGTATTTAGGACCGGAATCTACGCGAATATTGACAGATGATCCGGGCGATTCTGTGGATGCGAAGTAGCCCGTTTTTGGATAAGTCACTACTATCGGTTTACTCGCATCAACGCTTCCTGTATATTCGCCCGCTGCAGAGTAACTTGGTCTACCTGAATAAATTGTACCTCCTCCTGTCAAATGACTTCCACCAGCGGTTCCGGAATATCCCTCCGCTGTAGATCCTGCAGTAATTCCTCCTGATGCAGTATATCCACCAGAGTATCCTGATGATGCAGTATATCCGCCCGCTGCAGAGTAACTTGGTTCAGGTTTATCTGAATAAATTGCACCTCCTCCTGTCAAATGACTTCCACCAGCGGTTCCGGAATATCCCTCCGCTGTAGATCCTGCAGTAATTCCTCCTGATGCAGTATATCCACCAGAGTATCCTGATGATGCAGTATATCCGCCCGCTGCAGAGTAACTTGGTTCAGGTTTATCTGAATAAATTGCACCTCCTCCTGTCAAATGACTTCCACCAGCGGTTCCAGAATATCCTCCTGCTGTAGATCCGGAGAAACCTGTAGTAACTCCTCCCGATGGTGCAGTATATCCACCAGAGTATCCGCCATCAACTCTGTATCCAGTGGATCCAGTGCTGCTAATTTTGCTACCCGACGTGGAATATCCCGTGCTACTTTTTCCCGCAGGAGATATCGAATCGAAATATATAGACGGTCCAGTATAAGTCGGAATAGAGGGTACTGTGCCTCGGTATCCAGGTTTAGAATAATCGATACCAATTGCACCAGGCGATCCCACGTATCCAGAAACCGCGTCAGCCCCGGAAGCATGTTTCCCGGTGGATCCTGTAAAGTAACTTACTCCTTGAACACCAGTGCCGGCTTTAGAATAGTCTATGTTAGAGTGACCCGTGACGGAGTATTCTGGCAAACCACCAGTAATATAACCACCAGTGGCACCTCCCGTAGAACTTCCCGCTGCGGTGTGTCCCCCATAATACTCTGTCCTGGTGTAAGCCGACCCAGACCCCGAACAAGCCGGGACCAGCCAGGGCCACTCGCATACTAATTTCTTCTCGTCAAACACCAAGTCGTACGGACAACGAAATTCGAACGCCATTAACTGCGATTCGCCTGTCGATTCATGAAGTTGTATGTAACAATAGTCTTATTTAAATTTTCGCATATTTTTTCAATTTTAAAAATTACATATGATATATGATAAAATATATATCATATATAATTATATATAATTATATATGATTATATGTAATTATATATAATTATATATAATTAATTATTATATATAATTATATATAATTATATATGATAATTATATATGATAACAATAATAATAATGTAAAAATTTAGCGCATCCAAGTCCATATATGATATAATATATGATAAAATATATATGATATATGATAAAATTATATATGATATATATAATTCATATATATATCATATATAATTATATATATAATTATATATGATATATAATTTTATCATGTATCATATATAATTTTTAATTATATATAATTATATATGATAACAATAATAATAATGTAAAAAGTTTAGCGCACCCAAGTCCATGCAAGCGAAGAACCAACGACAGTTTTGCGGATCCGCATAGTAGCCAGGTTGGGAGCATTCGAATCTCTTGGGCGTAACGGGAGCTATCTCGCTGCTACCTGGACAGGGAGAACCCTGAGGCAAGGAACCCGGCCAGACGCAGACCTCGGTGCGTTCGTCGAACGACAGACCGGCCGGACAATCGAATTCAAAGACGGAATAATCCTCTATCGCTTGATTGAATTTCACGCAGCGATAGAATCTGCGAAATGATGAGATGACGAGTTTAATTATATCCTTATCTTATCTTGAAATTTAACTTATATAGATCGCTGTCTCATCACCTGTTGCAACTTTTAGGATGAACAAAGTAGCCTTGTCTTCTGCAGATAAACTCGGTTTGCGTATTTTCGCGCACAGCTCTAATTTGTCCCTCCGTATCCACTACACGAACGACGCGAAAGCTCGACGTTTTCGCTTTATTGGGATACGAGAATTGAGTTTGCTGAAATTAAATTTAACGACTTGCAATCTTGGAAAAGTAGAATAGACGAAATAATTCGAAAATGAAATATAGAAACAAATTCTCGTATACATGAAGATCCTCTTCCAGCGCGTTCAATACGGCTTGCCTCGATTTTCTTTTAAATTCCGTGAAGGAACGATATATTTCTTCCGTGAGTGGCATCTCGCACTCGGTTTTTACATCGTTTTCTACATCTCGCACCGCCAATCCAGCCAGATCCCGTAGCAACGCGTATTTCGCCTGAAATTAGACATCTTGCAAACTGATCAATTTTTATTTGTTTTTAATTTTTTTTCTATATTAAATTGTAATATTTTTTGGGCAAGCGATTAGCAGATGTGCATATGAACCTTTATTCCAACTGAGATCTTGTCCTCGAAAGCGATCCACGTTTCGTTTTGAAATGCATACGGTGCCGTGAGGTCTTCATCTCGTTCCACGGTCCATTCTCCATCATTTATGGCTTCGCAAAGCTACAAGATGATCGAGAAGTTCGAAAAATTTTAAGGATAGCTAATATAATCATAGAACAAATTCGTCTTTTTTTAACTGTAGAAAAAATATAGCTAGAAAGGGCGCGTGCACCTGTTCGCGATCGATAGATGTAGGTTCCTTTTCCGTAGTTTGCGACCTGGGAGCGTTCTCGGCCTCGTGCTTCAAAGCGAATCTGTATGCATTGGCCGGCAAAGTCATCATAATCTTATGCTTGGGCGCACCTAATTCGCTTATCAAGTCCACCAAGCTGTCCGTGTTTAGCATGTCGAAGAGTCCCATCAAACGCGAAGGGTGAAAGGTGACAAAGGCTTCGTCCTCGTCCGTCATGTAATCCGTTGGCAGCGTAAATAGATCGACATATCTAATAGAAAAAATGGAAAATAAAAGTCGACGATTAGTAAAAATTTTTTTCAAAACACTTTGTTGAATGAATAATCATATGTCGACGACAGAATTCTTACTTTACGAGTTCCTTCATATCGAATTGCTTGGCCAGATCCTCCGCTTTAATAGGCAAAGTCAGAAAGATCCTCTTGTCGTAAGATTTTCGTATCATTTCGTCTTTCAGATTTTTGATGAAATTGTAAAGACGTTCTTTGGAACCCGCTGTCACATTCATTTCCACGCCATCCACCTTGGAAAATTTCTTAATTAATTTGTGTACCGACATATTTGGTTTCACGATTCAATATTTACGTTTTTACATTTCCATTTATTCCTTATTTATTTAGCTATATTATTAACTGTTCGATTATTAAAATATATTCAACGTGACTACTTAATAAAGTTATCAAGAAGAGGATAAAAATATCGCTTTGAAAAAATAAAACAGTAGCTAGTAAGAGTATACTATACCTCATTTATAACGGACATAATCCGAGCAACAGCTTCCTGTCGAACTATGGTCGAATTTCTGAGTGTCATCTCGGGGTCGTGAATAGAAATAATAAATTGAAGAGGCGGGTGCATCTCTTTCAGGGACTTTTGCAAATCGGCAATATCTGAAATATCATCGATGTCGCATTTATTTCAGAATAAATTCAATTTACAGAATTTTGCTGCGATCTATGCAGTAATCAATTATATCCATCCATTTAAATTTTTTCAAAAATCGATTGTCATTTTTATCTCATAATCGGTATCTACCTTTTCAATTATATCTACTTTTTCGATCGCAAAATATTAAAGGGATCGTGAACAGAAATGACAAATTGAAGAAGCGGATGCATCTCTTTCAGGGATTTTTACAAATCGATATCTGAAATATCATCGATGTCGCATTTATTTAAGAATAAATTCAATTTACAGAATTTTGCTGCGATCTATGCAGTAATCAATTATATCCATCCATTTAAATTTTTTCAAAAATCGATTGTCATTTTTATCTCATAATCGGTATCTATCTTTTCAATTATATCTACTTTTTCGATCGCAAAATATTAAAGAGATCGTGAACAGAAATGACCAATTGAAGAGGCGGGTGCATCTCTTTCAGGGATTTTTACAAATCGACAATATCTGAAATATCATCGATGTCGCATTTATTTAAGAATAAATTCAATTTACAGAATTTTGCAGCAATCTATGCAGTAATCAATTATATTTATCCATTTAAATTTTCTCAAAAATCAAACTTATCAATTTTATCTCATAATCGATATCTATTTTTCAATTATATCTACTTTTTCGATCGCAAAATATTAAAACTAATAATACATGTATTATCTTTCAGGATGCATTGAACTTACCAGAAATCGAGAGATCCCGGATGTCGTGATGTTGATGCACCAGAGTGGTGCAGCTGCATATGGAATCGGCCAGCAGCTGTGCATCGAGGGCAGAAGTGTAGCAGAGAATCTCTCTGATCGGCGACGTTCTCTTCTTCGGGCACTCTACGACAGAACAAGATCGCTCGTTCGATTTCGCACGTGTCAGACAAGAAGTATGACTTAGCGGAGATGCTACGGGAGTTTCAATGGTTGTCATCATCGCACCGGTCACCGGTGCGTTAAGCTGCGATTGTTGCTGTACCAATCGTTTTGCATGGACACGCGAGGTCGCTTCTCGTAAAAAAGCGAAGCGGAGGATGATCCGCGGGAGATTAAGCATCCGCGGATTATGCGAGATCGATTAATAATCAACAGTCCCGGATACATTGAGGTAATAATTGCGTATGCAATTATCGCGCGACTGATTGAGCGTTAAACGTCGCGCAAAGTTGCGTGACGTTCGTATACTTTTCATTGCATATATAAATATGACGTTATAAATACTGCAGCTGTCACTTACGCGCCACGTGCCACTCGCGGAATCTCGTTAGAATCGTAAAAATTAGATAACATTCTCGATATATGAAGGCAGAAGCAAAAGGATTCATTTTTACGTATTATGTAACATTTCGTATAAAACAATGCCTTGCTGCTGAAAGCGATCATCTTGACAGATGAGAACAAAAGGCGTTTCATTTCATTCAATTGTAAAACAGACCAATATTAATAGTGGAAGAGGCAAAATGTATTGATCATTACGTCATGTGATTCTTGGAAAAAAGTCAGAAGCTCGAATGTACGCGAGGTTGATGATATAAATGGTATCATCCTTGCTGAGAGTGGTTGCTCCGGTCATACGTGTCGTAATTCAACCTTAAAGGACGGTGTATCCGATACGCGTGGTAACGCAATCGGCAGAAGATCGCTTTTCGCATCGTCGATGCGTCCTATTTATCTCTGTGTGTTGTGTCATGTGCCACGCAATTTTCACTTTAGCCGAGAATTACGCGGGGAATATAATTTATATTAATACACATATGTTTACTTGAGTCAATTTCACAAAATTGCATCGAAAAAGAAGCGTTTTGTCTCTTGAAGCTCTTCATTTGCATAAAGTCTTTTTATTTTCAGCTAAGATTTATATAAAATTTATATATAAAGCATATGAATGAAAATATAAAAATTATTTACGTTTGAACATATGAATGAAAATATAAAAATTATTTACGTTTGAACATTTATGTCTTACTTAATAACGTGATGTCTTAACAAATGTCTGGACGTAAATAATTTTTATATGCCACTGGAAGTGAAAGGCCATCTCGCAAACAAGACCGATGTCAACAACGATGCCAAAAGAACAACGAATTAAAATTATTAATTATTAATTATTAATTAAAATTAAAATATAAAATTCTGGATAATTTCAAAAATAAATTTTAATAAATGATATTCTGAAATATAATAAAATCATTAATATATAAAATTTCATGCAAAGGCTGGATTGTTAAATCTATAAATTTTCCTTTGATATAAGTGATAAGTAAATATATAAAAAATACTTATATTTTTCAAAATTACACTTACTCGCTGTAGTTCCGAGCGCTATGAGCGCGAACGATACTAAAAGAACCTCGCGAGGCCTCATTTTCTTCAAGATCAAAAGCACCGAAAACTCACAGTCAAATAAACACACGAGGAACCACCCTTAAACCATTCAACATCGCATCGAGAGCCCGTGCAAATCAACAGGGTCTCCTCTATCTTTCGCGCGCGCTCCTTCTCACCCCTTTCTCTTCTCTATCAAGTGGAGGATCCTTCGAGTTCGAGCGCGCGTTTTGCACTGAAGTTTCGGAGGAACGCGTGCTCTCTTAGTAAACCTCACCGATGTCGGCCGGATGGTAGCGAGGACCAAAGATCGAAAGGGAAGGCACCGAGAGAACCAGCCGACGAGAGGCGAAAAAAGGGGGAGAGAGACCGGAGGCCATCGGGATATCGATGGAGATCGCGGGTGGGGTTCTGTCCCAGTTCGGGACACTTTCCGCGTTACGCGTTTGATGCACGAGACGAGGCAACGCACGTTTCTCCTTCTTCGCGGAGCCCTTCTTCGTCGGATAAAAATCGAACGACTGCGAGAGAGTCAGCCGCTCGAAAGTTTACCAGGAAACTCAGGTGTTTCTGCCGCCTTAACTGGGATATTTCGGGATCACAATCTAAATGAGGGATCTCGAGGGATCTCTCTCAGGAGCTCCTGAGAGATAATTATTAGAAACGCGCGTCGCGATCGCTCGGATCAAACTACCACCGCGAATAATCTCACTCTCCTTGCAGTCTCTTGCAAAAAGTCTCTTTGCAAAAACGCTCGCTCGAGGTTGCTATATATGTTAATTGATGATGAATCTCTCTTAAATTTGAACGATTGCATCATCAAATATCTCGATCACTTTCGAATGAAGCATTCATAAGACCAGATTTATTAAATTTCCATCAATTTTCCTCGTCTTTGCCTAATTTTTTCGAAGGAAAATTTAAGATTAAAGAAAAATGGCTGTGATTCTCTTGTATTAAGAAAAAAATGTCACCTCTGACAGAATCGTTTTTTCCAGTGTTGATCTCTAGCGAAACCGATATCCATCTTTGTCGTTGGCATCTTATCGTGAGAAACTTACGACAAAGGCGATCGATCGATTCTGAAATTGTACAACTAGAGCCTACCAAATTGGCGAATGAGCATGAGATCGAGAAAAGGCCATCGGATGAATAACAAGTTTTATTTAACGATATTAGTTACGGAAATTTCTGCCATTGCGTCATTTTATTTTATAATAAAGATGATAAGTTGCTTTAAAATTCAGAAACAACAACTCGCACTGCATTCTATGATGCGAATATTCCACTTTAATATTATCATTATATATGAATTATTGATCATATTTTTTATTCTTATTTCCTTGAATTTTCTTTGACTCGCTTAGCGTAATTTACAATGTGTTTTATCAACGTATTAAAATAAGTTTACATAATCGCGGAAAAGCAGCTACCTGCGCATAGTTTATTTATTCGTCACGAATCATCGAGTATGAAATGATTATTCGCGCTAAAGATCTATTTTTGGATCAGGATCGCAATTGAAAAAGATTTTTAATTATAAAATTAATTATATATGTATATAAAATTTTTTTTTAATTTTTAACGAAGAATTTAATGTTTTTAAAATCATTTTTTTTCAGCCATAGTTTCTGTTTGACAATTTTGCAATATATTACGAATTAATTCGGATCTAATTTATTCCTTGCACTCTTGAAGCGAGATATTGCAATATATTACGAATTAATTCGTAAATTAGATCCGAATTAATTCGTAATATATTGCAATATATTACGAATTAATTCGTAATATATTGCAATATCTCGCTTTAAGAGTGCAAGGAATAAATTAGATCCGCTCTGTCTTGACACACAAGGAATGTTAAAACCACTCGTAAATAAATATATTGAATTCCGATGCTGCAGGCAATGGCTCATGCATTCTGCGGTACGTGAATTGAGATGAGGGAAAGGAATCTCTTGGAAAATTACGACGTTCTCGTAAAAACTGCAATAGTCTACTACTTGAAAAGGAGACACTTGTTCAAGTAGCAGGTCTTTTTACAAAGTGCGAATTGCTCACTGACAGTTTTAGAATGATTCAGACGTATCTCATCTTCTATATTAGGTCTACGATGCATGCCCAATACTTGAAAGTCCGCATTGAATCGAGGAGATATTTATTTATAATAACGAATTTAAAGTTTTGTACAAAATAAACAAATCCTTTTAGATTTTCTGATGAAATCTCTCTTGATTAAAAATGTAGTCACACAATAAAGTCTTATCAGAGTCTGGTGTATCTGTCACTCTTCGGAGATATTTTAGTTTCCTTTTATCAGTTTTCAAATAGCTACGTAATCGGAAGAATCAATTTAGAACAATTGACTCTCATACAAGTTCGTGAGAAAACCTCGCAACCTTGTAAATGATGTAAGTGCGCCCGAACCTTTGTGTCCAACAATAAATGCCAAAATTCTCTGGAAAAAAAATTAAATGTAGGATACCGGCAAGGCCAGGATTCAAGTGGAAATATAATTAAAAGAACATCAGGAACAGATGTTTACTGTAAAATCGCGGAGATTCTTAGAAAACATGAACATATCTAATTAAAACATAAATATAATTAAATCTAATTACAAAACTAGAAGAAAAAATTTATACATTTTATTATTTAATTACATTTCTATGAATATTTCTGCATATTTTTATAATCGATGGAAAAAATAAAGTCTACATTTTTTTGTTAGAAAACTGCTATTCTGCACACAGAAAAAAAGGACACGCTTGTTTTGAAAATATATTTAGTTTTAACATGGAAATCTTGAAATGAGATTATATTGCGTAATTAAGGAAAAAAATAATTGCTTGAATAATTCCGTACTTGAGTAAAGCCATTTTATACAGTTCAATCAAGAAAAATATATTCTTATGATTTAAGATTTAATTTTTTCGAATGGAAAAAAAACAATGTTAGATAGAAAATAACACTTTTAAATCAAAGATTATAATTTTCTTAAATAATTAAATAATTATATATTCTTAAAGAATTAAATAATTATATATTCTTGGGATGATAATTAAATTAAATTGGGATAAAAATTGAAATGAGACTATAATATTGTTAAAATTAAAAATTATTAAATTTTAAGAAAATTATAGATTGTTGCGTATATACGAAACAATGAACGCGTTAGTTTAAGTATTGATTTGACACTTATTTTTTTCTGTGCAGCTGGAGAAAAATCTAAACTAAAATTAGACTGAGAAGGCGGATGCGACATTTAAGTTATAAATAAATAATAATTATCTCTCTGAGAGGACGGAAACGAGCGCCGAGACATAGTTTATGATGGCAATGCGTCTTTGTCGCCTTTTACGTAAACGGCTACATGGTGCTTTGGTGAAGCCCGCGGGTGTTTAAGCCGCGGGTGTGGTTCTTTTGCCGCGACCAGTGACCGCTATCGAGAGATTGATCGATTTGCGAGTATCGGCGGGTGACACCACGTCTCTACCGCGAAACTCGTTGCGAAAATGCGATTTGTAACAACAATGCTGTCGTATATAATTCTTCTTTATTCTTCCAGGGATTGGATTCTTGGATTTTTATAGATACAGTACACAACTGACAACCTGAATGAATTCTTTCTACGCAACGCAAAAGGAACGTATAAAATCTCGCGTTTCCTAACAATACCATATCTCGCTTTGTCTGAAGGAGCGGCACCGACATGGATAGTCGAGAAAAATCCCTATCTTCTCGCAAGTTAAACCTTCTGGTTCTCCGAAAGGATAAATAAGGTCATACCAGAGACGTATCTCGCGCGCGCGTTAATAAACTCGCAGCGTGGTTACGAGGCTTCGTTAATTAGCGGCGTCACGTGTCTTGTAATGAGAAATAAAATAATGCTTATCTTTTTTTTACCCATAGATTTCTCGGTAACAATAAATTTCTTCGACCTCGACTTTTACCACGAGGAAGCTTATTAAGGGGATTTTTATCCGGAAGCCATCAGGATAGAAATACCGATCGTTGTTGACGACCAATTCTTTTCAGCTGGCGCTGAAATAATCGCCGATGACAATTTTATGAATTTCGTCGGCCTTCGAGAGGAATATACCGTTATGTGCGAATGCTTTTCCTCCTTGGATAAATTATCACATCTCCGGAAAAAATACTCGCTATTCCTCGCATATATATCACTCACTTCCTGATCCCCTTTATCAAGAATACTCTAATTATTTAAGGATTTAAGAGAAAAAAATAGAAAAATGTAATAAAAGAGAGAAAGAGAAGATTTCTTAAGGATGTTTTGTATGGACAATCCTAGCGAAAAGTGGCTGAAAATTAATATTGACAAATATCCACTTTTGGTGTATTTTAAATATGAAAAATTGCGTGGAATATTACAATTTGATCTTAGCTACAGTGCAGAGATGTATTTTTTAATATTTATTGCATTTTTATTGAAATATTCCGAATTTTGTTAATCGAAATGATTAACTTTTGGCAGAGAATTTTGCCTTGTGACAGATACATAACTAATTTTATTACATTATATTTAATATCTTTTTAACCAGTTAGTACTTGTATAATATTATTTGACCAAATATTTCCTCTGTGTCTAAACTTTTGCAAATTTTAAACAAATTCTGAATATTATTTCCATGTGTTTTTGTCATTTGAATCGATGTAGTTATACGTTTCCCATAAGAACACATGTTAATTCGGTGCAAATTAAAATCCTTATAACTTGTGAACGCTTTAGTGAATCGATTTAAAAATTGTACTGAAGATTCTAAACATATGAAAGGATATTCTATACAATTTTCATTAAATTCTCAATATTTTAAAAATAGGTACAAAACATCCTTAAGCGCAATTTCTTCATATCTCCTTAATTAAATTTACTCGCGAAGCGAGCTGCGAGAAACGAAGCATCAAAGATCTAATCAATCGCCGCGGTTCAAGATTAAATGACATTCACGGTCTATCAACGTAATCAAATCCCGTATGAGTAATTACCGCGAAGATTCCTGCCTGCATTACGAATCGACGAGGATGGATTATCTTCTTCGCCGAGAAGATTCTTGTCACGTGACGTCACGAAAGCGAGGACCTTCGGTTCGATTTGACGAGTGCGCTCTGGGACTCTGGATTGTGCGAGGAACAATGATAATTCTCGCGTAATTGATGAATCGCGCGAGAGCCCCGTATACTTTTTACGGGCCATACACGTCCATATGTGCGCGTCCGCTTTCTCCTCCAGAGGTTACGTCATGTCGGAGCGCACCCCGGTTTCTTTCGTCCGGTTACGGGATCGCAGACCGGACCGGACTGGACCAGACACACCCGATCTCTCGTCGCGCAAATTTGCCGAAATTCCTTTCGTCCGAGTCTCTTTGCGCGAATAAGGGATCCCTTTCTCAAGGTCTCTTTCATTTTTTAAAGCAATGCGATGCGCCGATCCTTTGACGATTCTACTGTTCTAGATTGGCAGATTAATTTCTCTCCTGATTTCACTTCTGGCTTCACTGGAAGTGTGCAATATTTGCTGAAAAGTTGAAGAATACGTGTATTTTTTTCCCGGACAAGTATCTTCCTTTTTGTCGAATTTTCATGCAACATTTGCCATAACAGATTTTGCGAACAAGGCTACGTTTGACAGGCTCACGTCGCCTTTTCCTTTCGCGCGTTAATTCGATCTATGAGTTTTATTTTTCGGCCGACGTCGAGACG